AGCATACTCAGTTTTCCCAGCACCATTTATTGAGGAGACAGTCCTTTCCCCAATGAATGTTCTTGGAGCCTTTATCGAAAATCAGTTGGCTGTAGATACATTAATATCTGGGTTCTCTATTCTGTTCCACTGGTCTAGGTGTCTGTTTTTATGCCAGTACCACACTTTTTTGTTGCTGCAGGTTTGTGGTATATTTTGAAGTCTGGTAGCGTGTTACTTCCAACAAAATAATTTTTAATAACATACATCTCAGGATTTTTATAAAGGAAACTAAGATCAAAATGCAAGAACAAGACACTGGTTTCTGTTCTTAAAATTTAAAAACACAAATTTAAATTCTAATCACTTCTCCTTTTTAAATTAGGATATCCTGCTCCTTTTTATAAAAAGTATCTCTATAGGGAAATTAACATTATTTTATGGATTTACAGGGTATAAATTTCCACAGGGGAAGAAGTTACACGCCATGTTTCCAGGCATCTAAAATTCACCAACAGACTAATTAAGGGATCTAAACATTCATCTAAACCATAAAACATACAAAAGACAAATATAAATATATTTTAAATATACTCTTTATCTAGAGAAGGTAAATTTTGAAATCTACTACTAATGCAAAGTAATTAAACACAGTTCTCTTATTTGTGAAATGGAGCTAACACTGGAACCTACTTCACATGATTATTGTGAGAAATAAATAAGATTATGCATTTAAGTGTTTATCAGAGTACCTGGTAAAGAGTAGCAAACAATAAATGTCCATTTTATTTTTGTTTTATATTATAAAATAGTGAGACTTAATATCTAAGCCTTAATTTAAATTCTGCCTTTAAGACACAGCCACTTCTAATTTCACTTTGGTTAAATGGGATGTTTTACAAAAGTTTACATTCCAGCAAAACAGTTAATGTTTTAAACTGTACCTTCTCTCCTACAGTGATTTCTTAATTTCTGGGATTTCTTCAAAGCTCAAACACTGTTCTCTATATAACAACAAAGGCAATAATTTTCTACCACTCAGATATCATCTTACGAGAATGTTTATTCTTTGCTTTCCAGCAAATTCTTAACTATGAGCATGTTAACTGTTACCCTGTACTCTGACTTTTTAAAATGAATTTCTGTCTGGTATCCCCTATTGTGTTTCTAAGCCCTTTAAGGTCACAGAAGCACATATTATGTACTTCTTTATTTTCCCACGATATCCTTGTAGTTAGGCAGTCAATAAATAGGATGTGGTTACATGCACAACTTCATTCCAAAGCTTAAAAATTGGAACTTGCATTGAGTGCAACGCAATAAAATTACTTGTAATTTCAAAAAATTAAACTTTGGCAAAAGAAAATGCAAAACACAATTTCTTTAAGACTTGTGAATAAACATACACCCCATTTGTAGTCCATTACAGAAAATCTAAAATAACAACAAAAGACACTACTGAGGGAATCTATCAATACAATTAGCTCTGGGTATCATAAAAGTTACAACACAACCTAGCGTAGGCTTTCCAGGCCGGGCATGGTAGCTCACACCTGTAATCTTAGCCCTTTGGGAGGCTGAGGTGGGAGGATCACTTTAGTCCAGGAGTTCAAAACCAGCCTGGCAACATGGTGAGATCCTGTCTCTACAAAAAATATAAAAATTACCCAGGCGCTGTAGCACATGCCTATAGTCCCAGCTACTTGGGAGGCTTAAGCCCAGGAGGTTGAGGCTGCAGTGAGTCGAAATTGAACCACTGCACTCTAGCCTGGGCGCCAAAGTAAAACTCTGCCTCAAAAAAAATAAATAAATAAAAAAGAATTTTTAAAAATAGCAATTTCTAACACTTGGCAATCTTACCCATGTGATTTCTGTGGCGATAAGTACTTGGGGAGGGGAGGAAGCATGAATGAAAAAAAAAATTTACCCAGTAGATTCTTTTTAGGAATACTACAGAAATACATATAAATTTAAGTTCATATAGCACTCCAGGTAGAGGAAGCTATTTTAAAAAAAATCAGTAGGCACTGGGTATCAGCCCACCTAAAGAGAACCAACAAAATGTAACAAGCAAAAGCTCTACATCATCAAAACATCAAGCTTGAAAACTGCACACACATCAACTAGTCAGGAAGTTGTAAGATAAGGTTGTGTGTGCTGCTTACTCTTAAAGGGTCTCCACTTACATCCCTCAAAGTTGGTTTTATCTCTGCCTCTTGCACAGAGACACTATGAAAGAACCTTTCATTATGTGATTACAGTGGAAATCAGACACGCCTCTAAATGAACACATTTTCCTCCTGGAGAAACTGGTGAGAGCACATTGCTTCACAAGTGCTCTAGAGAAATCAATCATTTGAGAAAAAGTTCAGTAGCAAGTCATCTTACTGTCCTGCTGCTTGTGAAAGTTTACCTGGGTATAGGAAATAGGGAAATTGAAATTTAAAGAAAAATTAAATGAGCAGCTCAGAACAAAGGCAGCACTGTGCCATGTCTGAACACAGCCTGGCAAGAAGAATTGTGTTCCTGTCCCAGAGCTGCCACAAACCAGCTTTGCAATCTTGGGCAAACCAGGTAACATCCAGGGTCCAGCTCCCTCTTATCCAAGAGAGCTGGATACTGCAGTATCATCCCTATGATCCTTCCAGTTCTAATGGTTTGTGAATATGTCACTGAAAACTCGGAATTATAAAAAAGCACCATTTCTTCTCCCCACACAACAACAAAAAACCTCAAATTGTAATCTCCCTACCTGGTATATACTCCTACATGGGGGATTTCAGTGGCCACCCCTTCAATAAGGGACTGTAAAATCAGGATGGTCTTAAAGGGACTGTCATCTACATTCAAGTCTTCAAATTTCAAAACAGAATACAATAAAATTATATTTTAGACTGTATGGAATGGCTTCCTTCATTCAATAAGTGAAAAGTAGATCACAGTTATTACTTTGAAGAATAAGAAATCCAAGTTCCACATTCTCCCCTAGAACTAGGGTTACATTCTGCCTGCAAGTCACTTCACTGACTCTATGTATCCTGGTCTGTGGCAGTCACATTCACCTAAGGTTTGACTCTTAAACGACTCTTAAATTCACAGTTTTGCCACTAGGCACAGCAGATCTAGCTTTGCCAGGACAACTATGCCCTTGGAAGGGTGTACCTCAGGTGTGGCCCAGCCATTCCAATGCAAATGACATTCTTCTCTGTCATTTACATTTTTAACTCTTAAAGGTTTTAAGCACATGCAAGTATATTTAATTATTAATTTAAAGGAATTTCATGGGACAAAATGATATGTTTGAAAGAAGGAATCCTCCAGTAATGTAAATAATTTGATGACTTTGGATTTTTATTGACTCCTAAACTGAGGTATTTCTTTAGCTAAAGTCAGCAAGATCAAGTTTTCCACAGACAGTGGGGTTTCAGTGTTAGAACACTGCTATCACATACACATTTCATCGCTCGTTCAGTCATTAGTTTCTTCTCACACCTATGTATTTCAGGTTATAATGTGAATGGCAACATGGAAAAATGACTGGACCTCATTAGAATGAAAACTAATCTTCTACAGAAAAACAGGATCTTATTTTTTATTCAAGCAGTTATTGGAAAAATTCTTTGGTTTATAAGGGCCTTTTTGTGATAATTATTGTTTTGTTTTGATTACAAACATCTCTTTTATTTTACATCAATTCCCAATTTTAACATGGTTATCGCACATACATACTTAAGATTTGGGTGCTATGCAAAAGGTGTCAAGGCAAAATAATGTTCACAGGAAACTTTCAGGTCTTTCTCAGTTACAGTAAAAGCAAAATACATTACCCTTAATTTGTTTTTTAAACGCTACCCAACAAACCCAAAAAACTAAATGTTTTAACTTGTCCTTGGAAAGAGAAGTTGGGAAATCAAAGGCCTCCAGCACATGTTTACTTCTTAGCAAGATGGTGAGCATTGGTGAAGTAATCATTAATCATAGCTGGATTCCTCAGCAAAGATGTTGGCACTGGCACTACAGCCAGTCACCAGCAATGACTGCAAGTAACTCTAGGACACTAACGCCTATTTGATTTGGAAGAGAATAAGGAACATAATGATGCCTGAAGTGTACTGTGTGCCTTTGCCTTTCTTCATCTCAGGGCCTTGCAACATCACAAGCCCAGCTGTTAACCAGATGCATGCAACACAAGCCACAGAGTGTGAGAAAAAAATAGTATCAACATTATTTCCATGGAACTAGTCATGTCATTATTACAGAAATAATCAACATCAGCATACTACAATATTTGTTTTGTTCTTGAATTGTAACACCTTAGGGAAAAAGTTGTCTTTATTTTTAAAAAGTTAAAAATGAAAGTACATGTTATATATCTTTGCTGAAAAATGGTGGGAAATGGATTTGTCAAAACCATATGGAAAGGAAGAGGGAATCAATTAAAAACAGAAATCTAATAAATCTAAAATATTTCCAAATGAAATGCTTGTGGTAAGCTAATTTCTTGTAAACACTGCACTCAAGTCACTTGAACAGTCCCAGATGGTGAACTAACTCTGTGGTCTTAAAACAAAAGTTAGCCAAAAAAAACCAAGAGAATACAACTTTATTATCAATCCAGTGGGAAACATGAGATCCATAATCAACCAGCATATTACCTTTTTTTCTTTGCAAAATTTAAGAGATTTGTGGAGTTTTAATAAATAGACAATTTTAGCTAAAGTTTAAGTTTGTGTATGTGAAATGGAAAAATAAAAATTAAAGTGTTAATACTACAGTTAAAAGTGAAGTAAAATCTACAGTTATTTATACACCTTAGAAAAATATTTTCAAAAATGCCACAGTTTTGAAATGTATTATAAAGTCTAACATTCTAAATTACCATGAACCTTCTTCAGTTGACATTTGTATGATTTTATTCAAGAAAAATTTTAAACCTTTTTTTAAAGTTGGATTATAAAAGAAAGTTTGTGATTTATGGGTTGACCAGAAATTATACACGGTGGAATAAACATCTGCCTTACCTGCTCTACCGTCAATAATCCATCAGAAGATTCTGGCACAGACCTCATGGGCAGAAGCTGGCACAACATGCCTAAAAGTAAAGCAACTTCCTTCATACTTCTCCAACAACATACCAGCACCATCTGAGCAGTTACATCACATGTTTTTTCTTCTTTACCTTAAACATAAAAACACAACTATTGCAACCTTGATTACTCATATCCCAGATTTCTAAAAACAAGCTTATTCATAATTTCCCTAAGAATAATCTGCTTGAACAAACCAATTTGTCAAATGTTGTATTTATTCAGGAGAAAAAAAGCTAACATTTGTCAAGCGTGAGTTATGAGAAGAAATCACACTAAATTTTTTTTTTTTTTTTTTTTTGTTTTGTTTGTTTTTTTTGGAGACAGGGTCTTGATGTCGCCCAGGCTGGGGTACAGTAGCACGCTCACCGCTCTCTGCAGCCTTGATCTCCCAGGCTCAGGCCATCCTTCCACCTCAGCCTCCCTAGTAGCTGGGACTACAGGTGTGTACCACCACACCAAGTTAATTTTTGTATTTTTTGTAGAGACAGGGTTTCATCACGTCACCCCAGCTGGTCTCAAACTCCTGGACTAAAGCGATCCTCCCACCCGGGCCTCCCACAGTGCTGGGATTATAGACATGAGCCACCATGCCAGGCCCAGTATTTTTTTAATTTATTATTTTCAAATGAAATTTTAAAATAAAACACAGTATTGTTCCAAAACTTAAGTTTAATCTTTGGAAATCAGTAAAACAAACTCTGCCTCTCTGTCATAAAGCATGATATGGATGACTACAATACACGCCTTATTTATTTTGGGAGGATGTCTGTTGCAATTGTAAAGAAGTAGAATAGAACTTTTAAAATCAAAGGAAAATACAAATTATCTTTCAAAATATATTTAATTCCCATGGCCAATAAGATATAATTGGCCTTACTTACTCTCTTATTCTAGTTTTAGGAGTATTTTGGAACTGATATTTTTTAAAAATCCAAGATGGACTATTATATTAAACAAAAGAGCAAGCTGACAAAATGACACTTACAGTGTAATCTCATTTGTGTTTTTATTTAAAAAGCCCAATGTATTAAATGGATAAGTATACATACACATAAATATATAGAGTAAGTATGAAAGAATATATTGCACTAAAGAAGGAAGATGTGGAATTGGAGAGGAAAATTAAGAGGAATTTAATTGTTTTTAATTCATATTTACCTCTGTTGCTTGAAACTATTACAATAGGCATTATATTTATGTTATTTTGTGTAATTCAAAAATTTAAGTGTGGAGAATTTTTTGTATAACAATATCCCCACCTAGTGGAGAATGTAGAACATGTACTAAATTACTAAGAAATTAGTGCTTCTGATGACTTTTTGCAGCACTGCAGAAAATTCAATCATACCTAACGATCAAACAAGATACAAGAACTCGAATTCTGGAGGCTTGATACAACAAAGCAGTTCACATTTTACTAATAAGGTTTGTTTCCTTTAAAAGGCTGCTTGGCTTTAAGAACTCCCACAGCAGACAATAATTTTAGAACCACAGTGCTGGGAGAAGTTCATTGCTGCCCAAACCCAGGTTCATCGTACAGCACTGCTCTTACATCACCTGGGCTGTCAGGGCAGGTTTTATCACTCAAAGGCTTTTTGTTCTAACAGCTTGTATGCTGCACAACGGCATCTAATATTTTGGTAAAAGTCTTATAAATGCATTCCTAAGCCCAAATCTTTCCCAAAACCAAATTTTTAAAAAGCTTTATTTTCTAGAAATGTTCTGCATAGATTTGCAACCTTTAATTTACTACATAAAAAGGGCATTCTGTACATTTTACTTGTTACTTAAACACGAATTACAGTATCAATTTTATACAAGTTACCTTTGATTTCTGTAGAAGTATCAATATTCAGCACGCTGGCATTCAAGTCCTCCATATCAAAGTTATTACATTCTTTCAATATTTTGGCTTGGTTAAAATAATCATTAGTATCTCGTGGCTGAATCTCATTCAGAATCATCTGTAAGCGGTTTGCTGACTCTGAGGGAAAGAAATGAGAGTATATGAAACCCCAGTAACACATCAGATGCCAGGTTTCCCTTAGGGGTACTTGCCCTCAAAAAATCTACAATTTTCAATACGTGATAATCAGTTCTATTAGAAGGGACTCACAAGGTGGATAACATAAAAATTATGTATAGTTTTCATGATGCTTGAGTGTATTTTTAAAATATGACAATTTAGACTGAAATATAACCAAAAAAAAAAATCTAAATGAAGCTGTCCACAGGACGAAGGCTGCTATGTCATCTACACTGCTTTTCTTAGTGTTGTCCAAATATCTCAAATACGGTGCTCAATCATTTCAAAGAAGTGCAATAAACTTCAATAAATGTAGCTTTAAGAAGCTAGTTCTCTATGAAGAAAAAAGCAGGCAACAGAAAAATAGAAAAAAATCAACATTTGATTTAAAAAAACAAATGATAAATAATAGAAAAGAGGTTATTTCCCTATCTACAATAAAAGTTATCAAAGTTTAAAGATAGAAAGGTAAAAAGACATTTTTAAAAACCCATCAACAACAAAAACAATCTTTCATAAGATAGGAATATCATAAAGACTCCACAGCTTTGAAACACATTATGTAATATACTGCTTTCTAATTATAATTTAGTCTTCATATTTACATTAAGCTTCATTTTTATTCCCTAAGCACTCACTGGGTTAGGAAATATAAGCTCCATGAATGCAACACTTTGTTCGTTACTGAGTGGCCAGTGTCTGTAGCAGAAACTGGCTCACGGCAGAGGTTCAGGAACATGAGTTGAAGGAATGAATGCATGGCTAGTAATAAGGAGTTAGCTAGGCTCAGATATTCAAAACTAGCCATGAGTAATCATCTGAAATCAATCGACAAATCAAAGAACCGACATTTATCGGACATCTCTTATTTTTACTTATATTTAGGTACTATGGGAAATACAAACACTCAAACTACTATCATGATGATTCAATCAACATCTTATGTTCCTTCCCTGAAATTTTGCCAAAAATAAATTTTAACAGCCATAAAAAAGTAACACTGGCCCCAAAAGAAACCAAAGACCAAGAAAAGATCAGAGAATAAATCTGTAAGAATCCTAACCATTCAATGTTACAGCTTTTAGGGGAGACTTTTCTCAAGAAATTCAGAATGCATGGCAGATAACATAGGGAAGAAGCAGCAAAAATGAAGACAACCAGAGGTAATACAGCAGGCAGAATGAAGGAAAAGTCTGTGGGCCAAAGACAGTTTCTGAGACCAACTGGTATCTTAAAACTCTTCACTAATAAAGGTAATGTTAGTATCCTCTGCAGGATCTACTCACAGTAGGTAACAGAAATATTCAAGGTTTCTCATCCAGAATACATGAGTACTTCGCTGACCCAAATATTAGCTATATGACTGCATGTTCCTTATTCTTATGCACTGCTCAAGCAGAAAATCCAAAGCATCAAAATTTGGTATTTAAGGCCAGCACAGCGGCTCGCACCTGTAATCCCAGTGCTTTGGGAGACCAAGGCAGAAGGATTGCTTGAGGTCAGGAGTTCAAGAGCAGCCTGTGCAACACAGGAAGATCCCATCTCTACCAAAAAAAATTAATTAAATAAAATAATCAGGATCCATAAGTGTGTCTTGGTATCATGAACCATCACCAATCTTCTAACTCATTTTTAGGAAGGAACAAAAACCAAATATTCTCAATCCAAAACACATAACTCCACATTACCTTAATTATCAGCCCAAGATATTCAGTGTATTGTATAGTGCGTGTTTATGATACACTCAGTTTTTCTAATACAAGCTTCTCATTTGCACTCTACAATACATTTACAAACTTTATTTCAACACCAAATGTAAATTTATTTCATGATTTTTCTGTATATAAAGAGGGACACTCCATTTTAGTACAGGTTAAGTATCACTTACCTGAAATGCTCGGGACCAAAAATGTTTTGAATTTCAGATTTTTTTGGATATTGGAATATGTGCACGGCTGAGCATCCCTAATCTGAAAATCCAAAATCGAGATGCTCTAATAAGCATTTCTTTTGAGCATCCCACTGGTGTTCAAAAAGTTTCCAATTCTAGAGCATTTCGTATTTCCAACTTTCTGATTTGGGATGCTCAACTTATATAGTATTATATAACTCAAGTTACCCTGGGGTAGGAGGTACCTTGCTCATCCCTGGTTTGAGTTTTTTTGGTTTTTTTCTTTTGCTACCTTTTAATAGTTAAAACTATTGCTAAAAAGCAGAAATGCCACAAATAATAATTTTTATTATTTTCTCTGCAATTTAGCTTTCATATCTCCACAAAGAAGTAATTAGGAAAAAAAAAAAAAAGACAAGATAATCAAACCACAGCACTCTAGACTGTCTTCTTCATTTGCTGACCTGAATCAGTGTCCATTGGGATGAGACCTTCAGGCGATGAGCTCTGAATGACTGGAGACACCACAGCAGAAAGCCTGTAGGACATCAAAAGGAGCCTCTCTACCACAGGTTTCCACTCACCCACCAACTGCAGGCTGCTGCAACAAGGACATTATGGAAATTTATACTAAAAGCAAAAAATCAGATTTTAAAAATGGAAATTATTAGATAAAAGGGGTTGAATTTGTGTTTCAAAACTGTGCAATATAGAAAATATATGAGACATAAAAATATATACAGATATGTATGTTTTTAAATCTGATTTTCAATTTTATTCAAAGCAATAGACTACATTCCTTTCCCAGGACACATTCCAGTAAGAAGTTAAAGCTCAGAAACAAATGGATTTCTGAGACAGGAGACAGCTGTGGAAGTACTTACTTTATAGGTAACTTCTGCAATGCTCCTGTTATACAGTGGACTCGCCCATACATTGGAAATGATGCTGCTGCCTGAAGCAGAGAATTTTCAGCCTGAGACACTTCTTCCTCAAGAATTTCCATCAAGCATTTGATAACTAGAAAAAGCAAACACAAAATCAAAGTAATATCAGTTCTAAAACATTTATAAATGTGCAAACAGCACAACAGTTCCCATTAATATACGCAACACAAAAGAACTTTACACTAGAGTTTTTTAATCAAAAAGAGATCTTTAAAGGTTATCCAGCAAGGTTGCTCATTTCTAGTTAAGGCAGAACGGAATGTCTTTCCCTAAACTGCCTGTACCCATTACAGCATTCACTCTTAGTCCTTCCTCCAAAACATCCTCTGGCAAGGGTATCAAACCCAAGGCTTTGGCATGTGCTAACTGGGAAGCAGAGGCCTTTCAAATTAAAAAAGAAAAAAAAAAGTTTCAGATTTTGAAATATCTGCGTCATACTTTGAACACCCCAAATGTGAAAATCCAAAATCCAAAATGCTCCAATGAGCATTTCCTTTGAGTGTCATGTTGGTACTCAAAATGCTTTGGATTTTGGAGCATTTCAGATATTGGATTACAGACACTCAATCGACATGTAGAAGACCTACGTGAGAATGTTTACACTGGCATTATTTATTTAGGGAAAAAAAGTCCATCAACAGGAGAACGGATTCATAAATTGTGGTAAATTTGTATAATATATAAAGTACAACTGAGATAAAATTCTGTATCATGTAAACTGAATATTTTTAATAGTATATATACCAGAGGCAATATCATAAAGAAAAACAAGATTAAAAATTAACAAAAAGCGCAGCTATGATAAAGGAAAGGTTTCAAAGATATGGATGCTATTGTATGACTTAAGCTAAGTGTGATCACCGAGCTTGTGAACAAAACTTTTGAATTTTTTACATATTATTTATATAAATTACATGTATATATATGTATATATATTTAAGCCTTCTACATGTAAATATTCTTTGTATGTTTGAAATATCTCATAAAGTCCTAAAGTATCTTGAATTGAAAGCCTTTATGTGAGGCATGGACTCCCTATTCACCTCAACTGCAGTCCTCTTCCCACTTCTCAAATGGGTCTCCTTTTAAGTACAGCCGTGAAGGAATTCAAGCAGGCAAGTGTCATCCTCCATGGTACTGTCATCTATCTCCAGATCTCTGGCCACATTCCCACCAGAACTACTCATAGCCTCCTCTTTTTCTCCCATTACTAGTTCTCTTTTTCATGGCTATTTCTACCATCTCAGAAATAATCATTTTTAACTTTCTTTCTATATCTGATCTCCCTTTCCTATTAAAAAAAAAAAAAATCCCTATCTGTCCTTATTTCTAGTACAATTCCAAAATGAAGACAGACTAGCATAAAATTAAGTACATTAATCCTCAAGAAATATTTGTTGAAAATCATTAGATCTGAACCATCTCAGACCCTAGGTTTTGGAACTGGCTATCTGGGAAGCATAAAGGGCAACGGTGTGACAGTTCACTAAAACATAAACCCTGATAAACAAAGGAACTCTGCCTATATAAAAATAATGAAGATGGTCTCTCTCTAGTCACAGTATAACTTATACAGGAACAAACGCACATTTTTGTTGGAAAAAGAAGTCATTCTCATTTAAGAAGAGCTTTATTAATATACATTTGTATATGTACTTGTTCAACATAAATCCTGTTTAGACAAAAGTATTACAGCTGAGTAAACTGTTTATTTGCATAATAAGAACCCATGGTACTTTTATATGCTGATAAACTTTTAAATAAAAAAACAAAAGTATATGTTTAACCATCAGATAGTCGAAACAAATGAATACTGAGAGAGTAAGATATTGGTTTTGATAAGAGCAAAACATCAATACAAACCCATTAGTGTGTTCCTTTCCACCACAGCAGCAGACCTATCTCCATCACCACAAGCAAGCTGAGTTACGTGGGCAGACAAGGATGACGGTAGAGCATCCTGCCAGATTAAGAAGTTCAGCAGGTAGGAAGCTGTCACACAGTCGTATGGTTTGGTGCTTGTGCTGAGCTCCAATGCTGCCTGAAATAAGCCTTGCAGTTTCTCTGAATCCTAGAATAAAGCAGACTCAGTAACTGTCAAATTAAAGATTTCTTTAATTTAAAAAAATAGTAAATATTTAAAAGCACAGCCTGGAGCTGCGTACAGTGGCTCGAGCCTATAGTCCCAGCAACTCAAGAGGCTGATGCAGGACGATTACTTGAGGCCAGGAGCTCAAAATCAGCCAAGAGAACATAGTGAGACCCCATCTCAGAAAACAACAACAGCAAAAAAAAACACAGGCGGGTGCAGTGGCTCATCTCTGTAACCCCAGCATTTTGGAAGGTCAAGGTAGGAGGATCACTTGAGGTTAGGGGTTTGAGGCTAGCCTGCCCAACATGGTGAGACCTCACCACTACAAAAAAACTTAAAAATTTTTTTTAACTGTCTCTTTCTTCAGCAAAAATGTACTTTGTCCTGCAGAATTTTACTATGACCACAGCCTGACTATCTTCATTATTTCTACGCAGGACAGTTCGTCAGTCTGTGAGGGCTTATGTTTCCCCTGGGTATCATATGGCTGCCCTTCTCCCTTCCTCATTCCTATACAGGTAGTTCACTGGAGAAAACTGGAAACCCACTGGGAAGCTGTGTACCTGGTGAAACTTCACGTGTGTGGAAAACAACAGTGATCAGCTCAGCCTCAGAAATTACGCCTCAGAGCTCCCACATCTAGATCTCCCACAAACATCCACTCGCATCACCTGTCCTAAAGACACAACAAAGGACAGTGTGCTGTTGCAGTCACAGAAAAGCACTGGGCTGACAACAGAAGACATGATTTCTAGTCCCAACTTCAACAACGAGCAAGCTGTGTGTTCACTAGTCTGGAAGTCAGGATTTGGCTGTTCAATAATATTCTGATTCTACCAGGATTATTCCATAACTATCTAATGTAAGGAAAAAATAATTATAAACTCAATTTCAAGTTGATTATAGGTCTACTAACATTTGATGATGTTTTTTAATTTCACAGCAGCAAATATCAAACGTGCTGATTTAAGTACTGGTTTATTTAAATTTCTTTACCATTTGATATGTTTATTTTCTGTAATCTAAATAAAAAAACTTAAAAGTGGCAGCCAAAAGTTCAAGTTTAAATAAGTATTAGAAAGAACCAATTAAGCATCTAAGCCATTTTTTAACTGACAGTTAAGTCCCTGAACTGCTTTATTAACCATTAGTAAGAAAGATAATAAACAGCCTTTGAAGTCTAAAATGTCTTTGTTCCATCATCTTAGGTCAATCAAAGAATACTATGAAGAAAGACCCAGGATATATAGCTCCACGGGAAAAAAGGGAGTAAACTAGGTAGTAGAGTCAAGCCATTTATGTGAAAAATATGTCATCAAAAACATGTATGTACATGTCCTTAGAGAGATCAGGTTAGCATTCAAAAACTGCTATAAACTTAACTATACGAAAAAAATTAATTATATATTATATAAGGGACACCCAAAGAAAGACTTTGGAAATATAATATTGTGATGGTTAATACTAAGGGTCAACTTGAATGGACTGAAGGATGCAAAGTATTGTTCCTGTATTGTCTGTGAGGGTGTTGGCAAAGGAGATTAATATTTGAACCAGTGGACTGGGAAAGGCAGACCCATCCTCCATCTGGGTGGACACAATCTAATCAGCTGCCAGTGCAGCCCGAATAAAAGCAGGCAGAAGAATGTGGAAAGACAAGACTGGTTTAGTTTTCTGGCCTATATCTCTCTCCCATGCTGGATGCTTCCTGCCCTGGAATATCAGATTCTCCCAATTCTTCAGCTTTGGCTTCCTTGCTCCTCAGCTTGCAGACGGACACTGTGGGACCTCACCTTGTGATCATGTGAGTCCATACTCCTTAATAAACTCCCCTTTATATATACATCTATCCTATTAGGTCTGTCCCTCAGAAAATCCTAATACAAATATATAATTAATATTTTTAAATCTTGAATGCCTATTTCTTTGACTATTTTACTAATCTGTAAGCCAAACAGAGAGTGTAACCAAAATCCCATAGCAAACCACATGTGGTACTACATTTCCTGAATTCTACAGCTAGTGCCAATATACCAAGCACGATTTGTCAAATTAGAGGTGCAGAGGTCCCCTAAGCCCCTTGATAGTTTATGTAAGGGCCAGGTCTTTCACATTTATGCCATCATATGTCTTCTCCATCCAGGTACTCTCAAAATATTTGCCAAGAATGAGGCATAGCTATAGACACAATACAAGATGACATGTGATGAATGATAAGGCGAGGAGGGATAGACAGAGGAAGAGAAAAATCTCATCTTTAAAAACTGTGTATAATAATGAAAGTTAGCAACCTGAGCACCAAGGAACTTTCTGCTCACAAGGATACCTGAAAAATCACAGGAATCGGTGGATACTGGACAGCAACTTCCAATATGGACCCCATGTCAAAAAACATAGATGTTCTAAGATCTTACATAGCCACCTAGAAGCCACAGAAACAGACACTGTCCTCTCTAGCATGTGATCCTACAGAATCCCACTGCACCTACAAGCTACCATGCCCTAAACACAGCCGAACTGAACAACCACAGCCTAGACCATGGCTCAGCTGCAGCAGGCACCCTCAGCCCTTATAGAGCTCTAACAGAAAACCATAGTTAAGCTCCAGAACCAGTACTCTGCTGGTGACCCAAAAACCCTAGGAGAAGCTTCAAGGGCAGAGCTGAGAGCCCGGGTCTGGAGGTTCCCTGCAGATTCATCCCCATGTAATGCCTTCACTTCCAAGCCCACCTTTAATTCCTACCCCAAAGTGGGAAGAGCAATGTGTCAAGAAGAATGGAGGGGTCGGGGATGAGGTAGAGCACCTAGGGACTGTTGTTATCCTCAAGTACTTGGTAAGTTTCCATCTCAGTTTAGCTATTCCTGGTTGAAAAACCAGGAACATGCTCTCTGCCTCTTTTACACTGTTTCTCAAATGTATGAAGAAGGGAGATTATCTCAAAAAATGCAAGTTACTGTAAGCAATGTGCTCTGATCGAATATTACATGTCCAAGGGAACAGGGGAAACCATAGTTAACTGAAATCTACCAATAATCTTGTAAACAATAAAACCTACAGCCTCCTACACCTCTCTTTTTATCAAAGCAATTAAAAAAAAGCAAAGCTCACTGATTTGGGCCTTACTTACCTATTTCCTCCTTTCCCACCAACCCAGAAATAGTAGAGAGGTGTTAATGACAACTGAAAGAAGTCCAAAAACATAAAAAGGCAGAGGCAAATGCATGAATAATCCTCAGATTGCTTTATCTGCTGATAGAAAGTTTCCATGCATATACCACATTTATACTGGAAAAGTCCAGATACCTGAAAATGTACAGCTGTTTCCGATAACTTCATCAGAAGATCAAATGCTAAAATTTTCACGTCTTCAAAAGTGCTGGTGAAACATTCCATGAGTGTTTGGAAACGACCAACATCAATATCATGGCTTAGCTGATATACTGTATAAATTCTACCTAAAAGTATTTTTAAAACCAAAAGATTTAAAAGTGAACAGAAGGAAATCAATCTTCTGAAGTTATATGACCAAATTTATAGAAAATTAGTACAAAAAAACCACACTTCATACTTTACCCATGACAGCATAAAATAACTTTTCTATTATTTTCTTAAATTGACAAAATAAGTACTACAGTTCTCCAAGTTAAAAAATATTTTTAAACCATAATTCTCTCTCGAAAGATATATGAAAGATTCCTAAGTTATTGCTAAAAATAAACAAAAACAAGTAAATTTAGAAACATATCTTTTTTAAAATCTTAATAAAACTTGACCTAGAATACAAAGTCCTGGGCAGGCGCGGTGGCTCACTCCTATAATCCCAGCACTTTGGGAGGCCAAGGGGGGCAGATCACCTGAGATCAGGAGTTTGAGACCAGCCTGCCCAACACAGTGAAACCCTGTATCCACTAAAAATACAAAAATTAGCCTGGCGTGGTGGTGCATGCCTATTGTCCCAGCTACCTGGGGGGCTGAAGCAGGAGAATCGCTTGAACCTGGGAGGCGGAGGTTGCAGTTAGCTGAGATCACACCACTGTACTCCAGCCTGGGCAACAGAGTAAGACTCAGTCTCCAAGAAAAAAAAAAAAAAAAAAAACAAGTCCTACTATATCTTAGAATGAACGGACACAGAATGATCAGTATGATGAGTCAAAGATAAAGAAGGACACTTTTGGCCATTCAGGGAAAAAGCTCAATTCCTCTACAAAATGGAAAAAATTAAACTGGTTTCATTCGTCCCTATAACAACATGTAGTGCTAAAAGATAATGGAGCAATGGTTACAAAATCCTGAGGGAAGGAAAGTTAGAAGAACTTTGCATATCAAACTCTTATTCAAGTGTAAGAGCAACAGAAACATTTTATAATATGCAAGAAATTAAGAACTACTTATCTCCAGAAACTCTTAAAGAAAAAGGAATTTCAGCCAACCAAGGGATGAAAAGAAAAAACTATCCCAAAACTATGATGGCAATCACTGAATCCACTTAATTCTAGGATGAAGACTCAAGAACTGTGGAAAAACAGGTTTCATGGCAAAATGTGAAGAACATTTAAAAACATTTAACAAGTGAAACCCTAAGGAGAACTGAAAACATGCTTAGGTAATTTGAGGAATGTAAATTGGCATACAAGTTTCTCATTTAATCTTAATTTACAAGTTAGCACAACCCGATGAAATTCCTAGAGCTGACACCTGAAGTTTTTGTCACTTTAACAACTCTGTTCAGATTTGCTTCTTGTTTTCCAATCTGACTGCTTTTTTTTTTTTTTCTTGTATAATTGCTCTGGCTAGAACTTTCAGTATGATAGTGAACAGCAGTGGTGACAGTGGGCATCTGCGTCTTCTTCCTGATCTTAGTGCAAAAGCTTTGTTTCTCACCATTGAGTATGATGTCACCTGTGGATGTGCTGTAAATATCTTTCATCATCTTGTCCTTCCTATTCCTAGTTTTGTGGTGCTCATTTTTTTAATCATAAAGGGTTCTGAATTTTGTCAAATGCTTTTTCCGTATAAATTGAGATGATCACATGGTACTTCCCCTTCATTTTAATGTGGTGTATTACATTGACTGTTATATTGACCCATCCTTACATTCCTCAGATAAATTCTACTTACTCATGGTATACAACACTTTCAATATGCTGTTGGATTTGGTTTGCTAGTCCATAAGAAATATTGGTCTTTGGTTTTTTGGGTTTTTTTTGTTTGTTTTTGTTTTCATTTTTTTGAGACCAAGTCTTGCTCTTGTCCCCAGGCTGGAGTGCAATGGCGCGATCTCGGCTCACTGCAACCTCGGCCTCCTGGGTTCAGGAGATTCTCCTGCCTCAGCCTTCAGAGTAGCTGGGATTACAGGCACCCACCACCATGTCCAGCTAATTTTTTGTATTTTAGTAGAGATGGGGTTTCACCGTGTTGGCCAGGCTGGTCTCGAACTCCTGACCTCAGGTGATTCACCTGCATCAGCCTCCCAAAGTACTGGAATTACAGGCATAAGCCATCAAGCCCAGCCGTTTTTCATTTCTTACAGTGTCTTTGTGTGGTTTGGGTGCCAGGGTAATGATGGCATTATAAAATGAGTTAGGAGGTGTTCCCCTCAGTCCAATTTTTTGAAAGACTCTGAGAAGGACTGGTGTTAATTCTTCTTTAAATGTGTTGTAGATTTCACTAGAGAAGTCACTCACCCTGAACTTTTCTTTGCTGTGAGCCTTTTGAATACTGATTCAATCTCTTGTTATGGGTTTGCTCACATTTCCTATTTCTTCTCAAGTCAGTAATTCTCATGTTCCCAGAAACTTGACCATTTCATGTAGATTATCTTCTTGGTGTTAACAACTGTTCACTGTATTGTCTTATAATCATTTTTATTTCTGCAAACTTAATAGAAATGTTTCTACTTTCATTTCTGATTTTAGTTATTTGTACTGTCTTTCTTTTATCTTATTTAGCAAACTTTGTCTATGTTGTTAATCTTTAAAAAGCACAACTGGTTTCGCTGATTCTTTGTATTGTTTTTCTATTCTCTATTTCGCTTACCTCTGTTCTAATCTTGTTTCCTTCCTTTTGAGGTAAGTTTGTTCTTTTCTTCTAATTGCTTGGGGTAGAAAGTTGACTTGGTTATTAACTCCAGATCTTTTAATGTAGGCATTTACAGCTATAACTTTCCCTATAAGCACTGCTTTTGCTGCATTGCTTACATTTTGCTATGTTGTATTTTTGCTTTCATTCATCTCAAAATATTTTCTAACTTCCTTCATGATTTCTTCCATCAGTTGTTTAAGAGCTTTGTTCAAATTTGAAGCCTTTTCTGACACCACTGTATGAAGCCACTAACACTCCCCAACCTCCTAGGTCTTCTATATATCCCCCTTATCTTCTTGAAATATTTCTTTTTTTTTTTTTTTTTTTTGAGATGGAGTTTCGTTCTTGTTACCCAGGCTTGAGTGCAATGACATGATCTCAGCTCACCGCAACCTCCATCTCCTGGGTTCAAGCAATTCTCCTGCCTCAGCCTCCCAAGTAGCTGGGACTACAGCCGTGCGCCACCATGCCCAGCTAATTTTTGTATTTTTAGTAGAGATGGGGTTTCACCATGTTGACCAGGATGGTCTCGATCTCTTGACCTCATGATCCACCCGCCTCGGCCTCCCAAAGTGCTGGGATTACAGGCGTGACCCACCGCGCCCGGCTGAAATATTTTTCATAGAACTTATCTACATCTTGTACATACATAATCTACATAATCTGGTATCTATATAATGTACTGGTAATACATACAAATTGTACATATTATTTTGTTCATTACTGTCTTCCTCCACTGAAACATAAGCTCCAAATGAAGAAGCACCTTGTTTGGGACAGTGAATATCCTTGGCTACCAGACATGTAATAAATACTAAATTAGTATTTAATCGTTGAATTTTTTACCATCAATATTGTGGCATTTGATTCCACATACGAAAGATGCATGCAACTTACTCTTCTTGGTCTAGGAAAGGCAGAAACCATTTGACTAATCTCAAATCACATTCCTATCACTGAAGTTCTTGAAATGATGATGAAGGAAATTTACATCTCCAATCCTGTACTTCACAGTCAAGTTCTTAAGCCTCATTTAAAAGTAACAGCTACAGTATGGCTTACTCCATTCGCATTACCTCCCAGTTGTCTAACATAATTACGATGGCATAAGTCACTGCCCAATTATATGCAACTCATTCATTAAGAAGGTGACTCAGGTTTTTCATTTTTAAAGTACATTTAAATTTATTAAATTACTCTGTTGACTGAAAAATTATAGGTATGCTTCAGCCTAGTTTTATTTTCCACACACTTATGTGCAGCTACAACTACAATAAATGTGCAGGAAACTCTTTGTTATATGATTGAAGTAATCAATCACTCTTAGGTAAAAACATATTTTCTAAATAAAGCTGAAGTAGTATTAAAATTCTATGAATTGATGGAAGACTCCTGCATTCACTGAATGCTGTAACCAATTACCACATACTTGGTGGCTTAAAATCACAGAAATCTATTGTCTCATAATTCTGGAAGCCAGAAGTTCAAAATCAAGGTGTCAGTAGGGCCACGCATTCCAGAGGCTCTAAAGGAGAACCTGCTGCTTGCCTCTTCCAGGTTCTAGCAGCCGCATGCATTCCACGGCCTGTAACCCTATCACGCCAATCTCTACCTATGCTGTCACACAGCCTCCTCTTTCGTTTGTCAAATCTCTGCCTCTGTCTTGTAGGATACTCGTGATGACATTTTTGGTCCATCAGGAAAATCTGGAATTATCTCACCTCAAATTCTAAACTTAAGCACATATGCAAGGACACTTTTTCCATGTAAGGTTTGCATTCACAACTTCTAAGGATTTGATGTGGATGTGTTTTGGAGACCATTTTTCGGCCTGCCATCGCCACTTAAATAAGGCGATCATATTTCTCATTATGAATACTTGAACAATCCAATATCATCAATACCATTATAGAATGCTCTGTGAAGAACACCACATCCCCTATGCAATATTCCTGCAAAAATGTACGGCATGAATCTAATCATCAGGAAACAATGAGACAAACCCCAACTGAGACATATTCTTCCAAAATGTTAATACCATGAAACAAGAAACTTTCCAGATTAAAGGAAGCTAAAAAGAAGCATAACAACAAAATGCAATGCGTGACCTAGGATTGCTTCCAAAATTGTGGGAAGTTTTTTTTTTTACTATAAAATAAATGACCATTTGGTGGGACAATTGGCAAAATTTAAATACAGATTGCATATTAGATTAAAGCATTGTCTCAACATTCAATTTTCTGAATTTGATCACTGTATTACGTTTATAAAATTAGTAAAAGACAGAGATAAAGCAAATATTGCAAAATATTAATAACTGAGGAATCAGCCGGGCATGGTGGCTCATGCCTGTAATCCCAACCCTTTGGGAGGCCGAGGTTGGCAGATCACAAGGTCAGGACTTTGAGGCCAACCCAACCAACATGGTGAAACCCCATCTCTACTAAAAATATAAAAATCAGCTGGGCATGGTGGCACGTACCTGTAATCCCAGCTACTCAGGAGGCTGAGGCAGAAGAATTGCTTGAACCCACGAGGCGGAGGTTGCAGTGAACTGAGATCACGCCACTGCACTCAGCCTGGGCAACAAGAATGAAACTCTAACTCAAAAAAAAATTAAAAACCTGATAAATCTAGGTAGAGGGTACATGGCTATTCATTGAACCAGTCTTCAAACTTTGCTGTTGATTTAAATTTTTTCAAAATAAAAACTTTTAAAAACTGATTTTCCTCAAATGAAGCAAGCCTCTATCACGTCAGCTAACTGTCGTCCTGTCAAAAAATTACATTTTGCCCAATGATTTAAAATAAAAACGAATCCAGCCCGGCATGGTGGCTCATGCCTGTAATCCCAGCACTTTGGGAGGCCGAGGCAGGCATACCACGAGGTCAGGAGTTCAAGATTAGCCTGGTCACCATGGTAAAACCCTGTCTCCACTAAAAATACAAAAATTAGTCGGGTGTGGTGGCAGGAGTCTATAACCCCAGCTACTTGGGAGGTCGAGGCAGGAGAATCACTTGAAACCAGAAGACAAAGGTTGCAATGAGCGAGATTGCGTCACTGCACTCCAGCCTAGGCAATAAGAATAAAACTCCATCTCAAAAAAAATAAAATAATGAAATAAAAAGAATCCAATGATAGCTTAAAGCTACCTGATGCTTCGGCCATTCCCTGTGAAAGAGCAGCTGAGCAGGATATTTTCCTGTTTAACCACAGTTAAGGAAGACCTAGCACAAGCAAGAAATCCTACTTTATAACACATATACACACATGTACAGGAAAAAAAAAGAATCATTTCTTGTCAAAAAGGAAAAAAAAAAACAAAAAAAGAGGGAAATGAAATTTCACCCTCTTGAGAGCCACGCAGAAGGAAAAACAAAGGGTATCATTAAACCAGAATACTTGGAAATTACATCCTCATGTTGTCTTTCCGAAACCAGATTGAGGCATATAAAACAGACAGTGTTAAGGGAAACCACATTTTAACCACAGAGACTCACTCAGAAATATTAAATATAATAGAAGCTATTATTATTTCAAATTTTAAATCTTAAAGAACAGACTGGGTACTACCTTAAAACAGCAAAAAAACAAATTAGGGAGGTAAGAGCTGGAACTCTTTCCATAATAAGTATAATCCATGAAAATTACAGTTTGGGGTTGGCAAATAATGATCAATGAAAAAGGAGATCGTTTCTTTCTCTTCTGTCATTTACTGGCAATTTCATTATGTACAAGCAACTATTATATGGTAAGAATAAAACCTCAAAGAAAGGCAACAAAACTGAAACTTCAAATTAAGCAAATAAAAAAAATTCTTTCCCCAAACATTATTAAGCACTTACCTTCTGGAACATGAAAAACTTCCGCTATTGAGCCTAAAATGGTTAAAGCTGAAAATCTAGTTGAGTAGGAAGATCCAGGAAACAATGCTTCAAAAAGACTATTGCAAATGGATGACATAAAATTCTTAAAAAAAAAAAAATTACAGTCAGTATAATTATATCACAATAGGTTATATTTAGAGTATTAAACACCCTTTAAGAGTGGGTGTTTTTGTTTTTAATTTAAAAAGTAAATTTCAAAAATGATACCAATTGTTCACTTTCTTAATAATTCAGGTTGGCACCCTGACCATAAGCTATATCATGACTTTAATGAACCCTATCTTTGCAGAGTCAACAAGAAGTATAATTTCTATTGCAGCCCAGACAGATATGTATACTTTTTTTTTTTTTAAAGGCAGAGTCTTGCTGGGTTCAACAGCCCTCACCTTAACTGACTCTACATAAGATCCCTGCAGTCATTTCTCAGGTGAAGTACATGCAACCTTGGGGATTTATCCTTTAGGTCCCCACAAGCACTAAGAGTTTACTAGGTTATTAATTCTACTAGGTTTCAAAGGAATAGCACCATTACTGAAAAATACCCTAGTTAAGCTACTTTTAAGTAAAACAGTATTCACATTAAAACACAACAAGGGCCAAGCGCAGTGGCTCACGCCTATAATCCCAGTACTTTGGGAGGCCGAGGGGGGTGGATCACCTGAGGTCAGGAGTTTGAGACCAGACTGGCCAACATGGTGAAACCCTGTCTCTACTAAAAATACAAAAATTAGCCAGGCATGGTGGCAGGGGCCTGTAGTTCCAGCTACTCAGGAGGCTGAGGCAGGAGAACTGCTTGAACCTGGGAGGTGAAGGTTGCAGTAAACTAAGATGGTGTCACTGCAGTCTAGCCTGGGTGAACAGAGTGAGATCCTGTTTTAAAAAGAAAAAAAATGTGGATGTATCCTAGTGATACATCCACTAGGGAGTATCATTCCAACTGTATTGTCATTTATCGGCTTATAGTTCCTGTTTCCTGCAATCAGACTGTATCCACAATGCAGGCAGGGACCACATTTCTATGTTTGGATCCCTATTGCTGAGCACAGTATCCTACATACATAGTAAGTTCTCAGTATATGCTCTAATCACTTTTAATGGTTCTCAGTGAAGCTTCCGAATCCCTTGGCCTATCATTGAAAACGATCCATTTTCAACTTGATTCTCTGGATTCACTTCCCATTACTCAAGTTCTCCAATCCCCGAGGTATTTTATATGTCATTCACTATAAACATCCTCGAGTTTCCCCGGTACTTTCTTATCACCAAGCCTTCATTAAGCTAGTACTAGGGGTAGGAGTGGGGAACTACTGAGATTTTGGAGTCAAGAGCAGGTCTGGATTAGAATTCTGGCTCTACCACTTACTAGCTAAGGGACCTTACACGGCTTATTGAACTTCACTGAGCTTCAGCTTTCTCACTTGTTAAGTGGGGATAAGAGTGTTTATCTCACAGCCTTTTTATTAAAGGTTAAATGAGAACATGGACATCTAACATTTTATAAATTTAAAAGTACTCTAGATACTAATACCAGTTATTTAGGTACAAAATTATCTCCACTAGACTAGAAGATGTCTTTTTCAACTAACAGCCTCTTCTCCCCCAGCATTTAGTCTATTGATTGGCACTGAGCCTGCCACACACGGTGCATGGCACCCACTGTTACGACAATGTGACAATCATGACAATACAGTGCCAAGATTACAACCTCCAAAAGCCACAGGTGTACCAGTAGGGAAAAAGTACCACAACCACGAGACTGACTCAGATTAAGACTCTAAGGACTAATTTTCAAAGCATGCATACCTATAAGCACAGACCAAGAAACCATGCGTACATGAAAATTAAGAATCTCAATCCAAAAAACAACTTCTGTGTTTCCAAGTACCTAGTTGAGTTTTCACAAATTTCATTTTACCCCTTGCAAAAACAAAGCAACAAGATATGCTTTGTTAAACCTAGCAGTGATCTAAGAGAAACTACAAAATAACTAAGCTAGGCATAATATCCATAATAATCCATGATAATGTTTAGAGTAGGTAGTATGTCATGCTGCAATCCCACCACTTTGGGAAATGGAGGCAGGAGGATCACTTGAAGCCAGAATTTTGAAACCAGCCTGGGAAACATAGCAAGAACCCACAGTTACAAAAAATTAATTAATTTAAAAAAAACTTTTTTAACTGTCCCACACACACAGTGGGGGCTTTAATATATATTCTAGTCACTTCTAAATTTTTATTTATTAATTTTTTGAGGCAGGGTCTCGCTGCTCTGTTGCCCAGGCTGGAGTGCAGTTAAGGCTCACCAAAGCCTTGACCTCCTGGACTCTAGTAACATTCAAGCCTCAGCCTCCTGAGTACCTGGGACCACAGGTGCACATCACCATGTTCGTATCAGAGTTTTTTGTTTTTGTTTTTGTTTTAAATAAAGAGGAGGTCTTGCTATGTTGCCCAGGCTGGTCTTGAAGTCCTGGACTCAAGTGACCCTCCTGCCTCAGCCTCCCAAAGAGCTGAGATTATAGGCATAAGCCACAGCTAGTCACTTTTAATAACTCTCAGCAAGGCTTTTTAGACAGATACATAGTTTACAAAGAGCTTTTTCATTTAATCCTCAAATCAACCTTTTGAGAAAGGTTACTAATTCTGCTTATGCTTGATGAGACTAAAGTCAGCCAACTAGTAAGTGGCAGAATCAGGAGAAAATTTATGCCCTTAAAGTTCAGGTTGTGACTTCCCAAGCTTTGTTTTAAAAAGACAAAGCCGATTTTAGCCTTTGTATAGAAATATTCTTTGTTTGATGGCTTTTTATCTTTTAAATACAAAATTGAAAACCAAGGGCATCCATAAGAATGTTTACAGTTATTAGTGTGTCATAGTTCAAATGTATCATTAATCTATTAATCTACCTCTTTCTCAAAATAAATAGGTAAGCTCTGTCTTCTATCAGGGCCTGCCAAGTTACCTGTCTTTAACCTTGCCTATCACAACTTTTAATTATTTTCTCAATCACTTGAATAAATAAATTATATAAGGCAAACTTTTATTCCAATAATACAACAAAATAAATTCAGAAGTTGAAAAAATGAATTAAAACCCTGTAACAAAGGGAAGTTTACCATTGTAAGTGGATAAAAAGGATCTGCTTCTCGAAGGCAAAATTTGGGGGAAGAACAGTGAAAATCTCAATCTGTTCTGCTGAAAAGAAATTCAAGATTGTGAAACTAAGCCCTGGCCCAGACTGGAGCTGCCGTACCCGGGTTTCCATCCATTTCATTAACACAATGTCCGAAAATCCAGCCCTACTCTTCAAGCTCACTCCAATGCAAGGCAGACAGCAAGCTTCCTCCACAGCTGAACCATGGGCCAAGACTCATCAAGCCTCTGTGAGTCATGTCAATCTAAAGAGAAAACAGGCCCAGCAACAGCAGTCTTCTGCCCTGGAGAGGGACAGAGTTCAGTACCATCAATTACCCATCTGTTAAAGTACTAAATTTATCTGGCCTACATAAGCTAAAAGTGATTGAGATTAGCCAATGAACGTCATTCTGTAACAGTCCTCCACTACAGCACTGGTTTCATCACTCAGGGCTAAATCAAGTAGAGTACCAAAGCACCAGAAGAAATATGTAATACTCAGCTTGAAAAAAAAGAAGCACAGAAACTCAATTCAACAGACTTCCATTTATTTCCCTTTAATGCTTATTCAAAGTACTTTTTAGTTTTTAAACAATCTCTATGTTTAGAAATATTATCACCTACCTTATACTGCTGTAAAGAAACAGAAGTGTGCTGTTTGGTTAACTCATTCTGTGGTTCATGTTTGGATTTACTCTGCTCCAATTTATAAAGCACCTGAGAACTTTCCTGGATCCTACAAAACAGCTTTTGAGATAAAAGAAATGAAGCAGAGGTGAGCCACACATTAAATTTAAATGTCAGCTGAGAGGCAAAATTCTTCAGAATGAAACTTCAAGGAAGGAGAGTACTGATTTTTAATCTCTTAATATTTTATAATGTTTCTTTTGGAAAGAAAATTAATATTTTTATACCAAAAACAAAGTATTATTGCAAAGCAGAATACAATCATCAAACCACAGTTTTCCTATTTCCTTTAAGTTGGCACAAACCTGAAGATGATATAGTCAATTCCCTACTCCACCAATTCTTCACCCCATAAATGTGTTATGCGACTAATTCAAGTTGGATTATTTGATAATGACCATTTTATGAGGTGCTTAAAACTATAAAAATGCAAGGGTGTTCTTTCTCCTGTTACCAAGTTTTCTAAAAACTACCTTACACCCTAAGAACTCCAGCATACGTTTTTTTCTTTAAAAAAAGAGCCCAAAGTTTATTTACTACACCAAAATGAAAGACTTTTGGCCACATGTGGTGGCTCATACCTGTAATCCCAACACTTTAGGAGGCTAGGTGAAAGGATCACTAGAGCCCAGAGTTTAAGACCGGCCTGGGCAACAGTGTGAGACCCTATCTCTACAAAAAATTTAAATATTAGCCAGTCATGGTGGTGTGCCCCTGTCATCCCAGCTACGTGACAGGCTGGGGTGGAAGACTCGCTTGAGCCCAGGAGGTTGAGGCTATGGTGACCTATGATCACACCACTGCACTCCAACCTGAGTGACAGAGCAAGACCCTGCCTTTAAAAAAAAAAAAAGGTGGGGGGAAGGGTGTGTGCTTTTCGCTCTGGATTTTAGTCCCAAATGTAAGCTTTATGGAATCACAGAACAGGTCACAGGAGGGACATCATGAACAGATGTGGTAGCCCAATTCCGTGACCATTTCCACGCACTCCCAAAACCTGGGCTCTTTTTAAAAACGCTTTCCCAAACAAAGTTCATCACTTCCCTTTGCCTTCTGATGGGAAATTCTACCTTTTTAAGAAGAGAACAGATCTGTTGCCGCACTCCTGGAGACTGGCTGTTAAGATTATATGTAATAAAGAACTGAATCCACTGCATTTCTTCCACGGAAACAACTTCTGTGCTTCGATTACTTTCACAAAGCAAGCCTAATGTATCTATCCTTACCTAAAAAACACCAAGCAAGAAAATGTTAATTTTCTAATAAATAAGCAAAGCCTAAATCACCTGAATTGTTTGCTTACATAGGCTACAAAGAAAAAAGTAAACTTCAGTGCACCAATAGGTACCTCAGAAAGACTTCTTAATCTCAGAGATCCTATGGTTATTTCCTTTAAAATTCTTTTATTAAATATGTAAATTGGGGATTTATAAAATGCAACAATCTTTAAGATTTTTATTCCATGGTAATGCTCAGCTTCATTCCTTTTCCTTTTTTTTAGTGACCCCTTTATCCCATCACCTCACTCTTATGTTACTGCCAGGCACTTCTAACTGGTTTCCTGGTTTCTTTTTGCTCCAACTCTGGAAACTTAAGTTTCCACTAATTTAATTCCTTGCTGAAAACAGAGTGGCTTTGGTTTAGCTTAATAAAACCAACTGGTGCCTGGGAACCAATGATGTCTTTAGCTTAGCGTTAGACCCTTCCAAAAAATGTACAGAACACTCCACCCTTGATAAGCAATGTCCTTAATCATCCTCCAGACCTTGTTCATTTGGGTCCCTCCATTTTGTATGCTGCTCCAAGGCTTCCTCTCTCCTAATCATATCTATTGCTTTCCTAATCAAGCAACACTTACTCTCATCAGTCTACTCTGAGCCTTCAGAGCAAGTCCTTATGTATTTAAGTGCACACAATGGCACACTTGTATCTGTATTGTCAGTTCCAACAGTTTCCCGTTGTTTAATACAAGTCTTCTTACATCCTCAACTAAACTTTCAGTAGCCTGAAGAAAGGATCTACTGAAGCTGGGTGCGGTGGCTCACGCCTGTAATCCCAGCACTTTGGGAGGCTAAGGCAGGTGAATCATGTGGTTAGGAGTTCAAGACCAGCCTGGCCAAGATGGTGAAACCTCATCTTTACTAAAAGTACAAAAATTAGCCGGGCAAGGTGGCAGGTGCCTGTAATCCCAGCTACTTGGGAGGCTAAGGCAGAGAACTGCTTGAACCCAGGAAGTGGAGGTTGCAGTAAGCCAAGATTGTGCCACTGCACTCCAGAGTGGGTGACAGAGCGAGACTCCATCTAAAAGAAAAGGAAAAGAAAGAAAAAGAAAGGATCTACTGAAAGTTTAGTTGGGAGACTGGGCTTCTACTCATTCTCTTTATGAACTCCTTAAAACAGTGCAGGACACAATGGAGGGCCCTCTATTTTGAACTGCTACATGAAAGGGATCTACTGCATATACAAATCCAGGTAATTTTCTTTACTTACTTGGCAATGGTGATGAACTAAGCCTTGCTTTATTCTTGCACCAGACACGAGGTTCTCCCAGGTATCAGCTGCAGACTGAAGATGTCCATGAGCTCTAGCTATTCGCAGGCATGCCATCAAAGCCCCCAGAGCCCCCCTGCTATTACAAGACCCTAAGGATGGGAAAGACTGCTCTTGTCCTGAAAGCACAGTAACAAAGACCATTACGTATTATGCAATGACTACCATACTTAGCTGCTAATTTTCATGTTTCCAATTAATATTTTATTTCAATAAATAAAAATCACATTTTAAAGTAAATTCTAACACAAAGTTCCTATTCTAAAACAATCATTATTTAAAATGATTTGTCCTTTTGTCAATCATTTCTAGTAAGCATAATTCTCTTACTGTTAACATAAAGAAATCATTATTCACTTGCTAACATTTTCACTTTTTTCCTAACACCTAGAAAGTGAATCAGGAAGTAAAGTAAAAAAAAAATCAGATAGAGAAATAAACACATCGGTGGCTACAGACTATTATTTCTCTAAAAGAAAGCGCTAAACCTATTTGCATATTTTGGAGTGACTGTTTCTAGTCACTAGTAAAGAAGATTAAAAAGTAAAGAAGACTAGTAAAGAAGATTAAAAAAGGATCACAAAGGGTCTGCTGGTTTCAGAGGCTAGAACATCAGCCATTACCAAGAAGACAGGGCAGCTTGATATAAAAATAAAGACAACCTTACTTCAGAACAGGTTCTTGAATCCTGCATTTCAGATGGCTTTGCAAAAAGGCAGGAACAATTATTGTCAAAAATTACAAATAATGGCTTATTTATGCATACAGGAATCAAATTTTCCTGCTATCTCATGATTACTCTTTGAAGCATGAAAGTTTTTAACAATTTTAGTTGAAAATATTTCTTAAAATTATACTGTAGCATACTACATTCTTGCTTTGTTAAACAGAAATAATAATTTTAAGATTTATATGCTGTGTCATGATCATCGCTTTAAACATCCTGAATTATGTTTGAATGCAGTGATTCCTGTAGGGTTTGTGGGTTTCAATGGGATGTTTACCCCTAGTCTAAATAATGATAGATGGCTATTTCTCAAGATCATGCCTCTGAATTTTGTCACTTCCCCAGAAAAAAAACTTGCTGCTGCCAAGTTACCTGTCTTTAACCTTGCCTAACACAACTTTTAATTATTGTCTCAATCACTTGAATAAATAAATTATATAAGACAAACTTTTATTCCAATAATACAACAAAATAAATTCAGAAGTTGAAAAAATGAATTAAAATCTTGTAACAAAGGGAAGTTTACCATTGCAAGTGGAATCATTCTTTAGCTTGCAGAAATGACTTCAGCCAAAAAACTCCATTCAGCTATATATAGGAACATTCATTTTAAACTGAAATATCTATCATTACTCTCCTCCTTTACTATTAATAGAAGTGATAATATTTAAATTTGAATATGCTTAATATCTGCATAGCTGCTTACATTTAAGCATCATAACTAGAAATTACTAAAACAAAAATGTATTTTTCTTACCAGTTTTAGCATCAATAGAAGTCTGAAGAATCTTTACCATGTACTGTAAGCTTTCGGGGCTGTAACTTAATAATTTTGGCAAGTAATAATCAATCACGTAAGACTTTTGATCCAAGTTTCCTTCACACAGTATAAAAAGGAGAGGAGAAACCCAAGTCTCATGCCACTGGTCAATCCAAGTACTCTCAGCAGTCTGAGATTTCAAATGACTCTTATGATTTTTAAACATGGTTTCCAAGAGGTCACTTGCATAAGGTACCAATGACTGGTCCCCCATCACCTCTAAGATTTGAGATGGAATAGTTTTATCTATAGCCAAAATATGTTCAATTCCTATGCACTCTACCAAACAACCAAGGCATGTGTACTTTCCTTTAATATGCCATTCCAATCGTAGAAGACTCTCAGTCAATTCCACAAAGAAAAGATCAGGGACCAAATCTGCACCTTCCACAGTGAGCTGGTGCATCTGGAGAAGATTTCTGAACATGATTTTGGTTTGGTGTCTCAGAGCATCCAATGGATGTTCCCAATGGGTATAGACATATTCCAAAAGTCTCCCAACTATACTTGAATTCCCATTCAGGCTGTCCCTTAGGCTTGGGGAACTTGATTCAAGAACTTGTATAGCTGAATTAGTCCAGGATGCCAAGATTCTAGACAGAAACATTTCCAGCGTTGGCTCTTTAATTCTGAAGAAAAATGAGCCATGAGCCATTATCATAAACTGACTAGCAAAAGAAATTTCATTTTATAATAATTTCGACTTTAAAATATTAAATACAAAGAATGAACACAAATTTCAATCATTATTAAACTTATAAGAACAAAAAACTACAAGTAAAGCCAAAACAGATCTGAAATTTCTATATGAATCTTTTCACTTTGTAAAAAATCATCCAGAAAGGAGTTCAAGACCAGCATAGGCAATACAGTGAGATCTGTCTATAAATAATTAAAAAGCTGGGTGTGTGTGGTGATACACACCTGCAGTCCCAGCTACTTTGGTGGCTGAGGTAGGAGGATTGTTTGAGCTTCGGAGTGAGACTGGAATGAGCTGTGATCATGTCACTACACTCCAGCCTGGGTGACAGAGCGAGACTTTGTCACAAAAAGAGTAACAATATTCCAGAATAGGACATAGGAAAATTTGGGGGATGATGGAAATACTCAATATTCACTACCTTGATTGTGGTGATGATTACACATGTAATTTATTTATTTTTGTTTTTGAGACGGGGTCTTGCTCTGCCGCCCAGGCTGGAGTGTAATGGCATGATCTCAGCTCACTGCAACCTCCACCTCCCAGGTTCAAGCAATTCTCCTGCCTTGGCCTCCCCAGTAGCGGGCACTACAGGTGCCCACCACCATGCCTGGCTAATTTTTTGTATTTTTAGTAGAGACGGGGTTTCACCATTTGACCAGGCTAGTCTCAAACTCCTGACCTCAGGTGATCCACCCACCTCAGCCTCCCAAAGTGCTGGGATTACAGTTGTGGGCCACTGCACTCGGCCTACACATGTAATTTAAAGCATAAGGAAAGCCACGGGTTGGAGGTGATTGGGGAAACGGGGCTTCTCTGTGATAAAAAATATTCTAAAGTTGTTTGAATTATATTTAACATTTTAAAAAACTAATTTTAGAAATGTTGATGGTTTACCAGATTTGTGAGGATCATTTTAGATTACCTATGTTAAAGTTCTTCATAAATTCTAAAGCACTACACATATAGAAATTTTTATAGTTTTAAAATATGATGGTAAAAAAGAATTTGAGGAAAAAAATTTTAAAAAAGAAAATGATAGCATAGAGAATATTAAAATTAATTTAGAAATGCTGGTTGTTGAACAACTTTGTGAATAATAAACTGAATTGTACACTTTAAATTTAAGAACTGCACAGTATATAATTATACCTCCAATATTTAAAAAATTATTTTAGTTTTCCTCCTTTATTCATATGTTCGTTATCATCAAGCCAGACACATGTTTTGACATTTCATATACATGATCACTTTCAGCCATTATGGCAAAAACACAAAAATACAAAATACTGCCCCATGAAGTCAGAAGACCTTCTAACACTGCTGCTTCAGATTCTTATTAGCAATATGCTTGTAGGTCAGCATTTACTTTTCTAAGCCTCCCTTTGCCCATTCAACAAATCAGATTTCTTATCCTATTTATTAGCCATATGAGGATCACATTAAATTACCTATGTTGAAGTTCTTCATAAATTCTAAAGTATTATACATATAAAAATTTTTATAGTTTTAAAAAATGGTAATATTGAAAATGTTAAAAATTAATTTTAGAAATGTTCTTTACAGGCTAATCTGCAGTAATAATTTTATTGATTGATTGACTGATTGATTGAGACAGGATCTCACTCTGTCCCCCAGGCCTCCTGGGGGTGCAATCATACCTCACAGCATCCTCGGCCTCCTGGGTTCAAGCAATCCTCCCAAGTAGTTGAGACTACAGGCACATGCCTCACACAGATGGGGTCTCACTATGTCACCCAGGCTGGTTTTGAACTCCTGGCCTCGAGTGATCCCCTTGCCTCAGCCTACCGGGAGGGTAGCTGGGATTAGAGGCACAAACCACTCCAGCTTTTGGGCTGCATCTTTTAAATGTCTTACAAGTGAAACAAAATATGAAACAGTAGCATCAGAACTCACTGTGAACTCAAGGTGAACAAAACATGTGCAGTATCCAAGAGCAGGGCCTCCCCATTTGGGCCCATGCTCCCATTCTGCCAGTCCAACATGGCAAGTGTCCCCTGGCACAGGAATAAGACAGCTGACTCAGAGACATCAGCACAACAGAGGCTCCTGCAGCTGCTCATAAACCACTCGGGGGTGCTGGTACAGTCCACTGAATGAAGCAGCAAACTGCTAATCTGGAAAAATATGGCAGAGCTAATACACACAAAGCTTTTAAAACTTTTTCAGAGATATTTCAAAATACAAACCCAAAACATCTCTTTCCCCTAAAAAATCCTAGGAAAAATGACTAAACCAACAATAAAATAGCCACAAATGTTACGATAATTATACTAATGTTAAAGGGAAAAAAATTACATCAAGTATGTGAATGATTTTGCTGGTTGGAATGTACTGGCAGAGCACAACACATCGCCACCTGCAGGTGGAAAAGTTTAACAAGTGTTTTGTTTTTTTTTTAACATGCTTTTAGAGGTGATTCGAGAAATAAACATTTTCGACTTATCCAAAGATAATTACTTTGTGTGATCTCATAAAATAATGCACATATATTTTTCTAAGGTCATCTAAAAGAAAAAATAAGTTTCCATATAATATAGCAAGCAAAAAAAAACCTACTAGTAAAAAATACAAGGATTGTGGGCTAAATTATCAAATTATACTTTCTATAAGAAGCAAATTTACTGAACAATTGACTCTATCTAGCATGCTGCACGTCTAAAGTACATGATTTGGGTTATTCTTAATAAAGAACATATTTATCAGAAAAGTTATTACTGTATATATATCTATACATTAATATGCATAATTTTAACATTAAAAAGATACTAATCAGAGGTGACACTGAACAAACAGCACTAGAAAAAAACTACAACATACATCAAAAATATTAATAGTGATTATCTTTGTGAGATGGACTTACAGGTGACTGTTAATATCTTTTTGTTATTTTTGCTTTATCTGAATTTTTGGAATTGTCTCTTATTATAAGAGAAAAGGGTCATCAGAAGGATCCAGACAATGCAAAAAAAAAAAAATTAATTCACTTCTTTAAAAATATTGTTAATTGTTTTAAGAGACAAGGTCTCACTCTGTTTTCCAGGCTGATGTAATCTTATCTCACTGCTGCCTTAAACTCCTGGTCTCAAGCGATCCTCCCACCTCAACCTCTCAGAGCTGGATACAGGTGTGCACCACCATACCTAGCCAATTTTTTAATTTTTTGTAGAGACAATGTCTTGCTAAACTGCCCAGGCTGATCTCAAACTCCTGGTCTCAAGTGATCCTCCCACCTTGGCCTCACAATGTGTCAGGATTATAAACGTAAGCCACTGCACCAAGCCAAAAATATTTTTTAAACATATTCTCTCAATAAAGTACAATTCTAAAAAGAAGATGCACTTACCAAATGAGGAGTCTTTTCAGATGGGTGTAACATAGTCTTAATAAAAAGAATAACAGCTAATCCAGATGTGCTCCGTATAGTCTGTAATAGATCATCTATTTGGAAAAAAAGGAGAGAGCCTGTGTTAAATGATGAATATTCTGGTACGGTGGAAAGAGCAGATGCTGAGCAGCCAGACAGGCCTAGGTACAATTTCTAGTCTGACCACTTCCCGGGTGAATAGGTCTTACAGAAATTATTCAACATCCCAGGGACTCTGTTTCCTCTTCTGTAAAATGGGATAACTCTTAACTGACACAGTGTTTGTCAGGTTTAGATGAATAATGAATATAAAGGCTTTTAAGCCCAGCATGTAGATACTCAATAAATGTGATTCCTTCCTCTCTCCTCTAATATCCACTTTCCTCCTCTTCAACTACTGCTTCCCAGAACACCTAACAGCAACACCACCTGTCCCCTCCCCTCCACCAATGCCTCTGTATCCCAACCACCACATACACAGGCTTCTTCATAAAGAGATCTCAGGGCTTGTGTAAACAATGTACATAAGTAAGTGGTAATTATAACTTTGCTAGCACTGCCACTGTACCCACAGCAACCAAACAGTTTTGACTTGGTATCCTCTTTTTATCTCTATTAGCCTCGAATACCTGGGGCAATTATTCAACCTAGGGAAAGAAGTATGACATCATAAATTATGTACTAAATATCCACTCTGCCCTTTATCCCTGATAACAAAACTGTGACTCTGATTGAAGAAGCTACATGCCCAGCCAAAACAGGATACTTGCTTCTTCAATCTTCTTTGCAACTAAAGGTAAGCATATAAGAGAGTTCAGGCCAACAGGATGTAAGCCAAAGTCATTTGAGTATCCTGATTAAAGATGCAACTGGCCTTCCTTCTTCCTGCCTTGAATAAAGACATGTCTGGAGCTACAGCAGTCATAAGGCAACCATGAGGCAACAAACGTTGCCTTCAGCAAGCCAACTTGCTGAAGGGGGCACAGCAGAAAAGCAGAAAATGTGTGGGTCATACACTGCCTATAGCAGTTCTGGATTACCTGCCTCTGAACTTGTTATGTGGGAGAGGAGGTCTGGTTTTCAGTTACTTGCAGCTAAACACTTCACTGATTATGAAGCTTTAAAATGATGGAAAAAATAGTACTGATCAGATGCCATCAACTTTTCAGAAAAGAAGGTACCTCATATTAAAATCATGTCTTCTCTACATTTCCTTAGAGAATCTTTTTTAAAGACTAACAGAGTCCTCTTTTAAAAAGCAAATAACCTCTGAAAAGTTTTCTGTAAGTTATGTCTTAATAAAAGTACTTTAATTACTTTCCTTTCAATACCTGAGAACCCAGGCAAAAAGAAAAATAGAAATACTAATTGGACAAAATAGAGCTAGGACTTTCATTACCAGGGTTAAAAACAATGAGATGCTATTGTTTTCCAATCAGCCTGGCAAAACCAGAGTCAGTTACTGCTTTTTACTAACAAGAGCTTTAAAGAGATCCCGTGAGCATGTTTTAATTAAGTTACATTCATACACATATTACCATATAGAATGAGAGAGGAAGAGAGAAAGGATAATTTAACTTTTTATATAAATAGTTGTGTTAGGTATCACTTTTCCATTAATCTTATTATAATAATAAACCACTGATTCCAAAAGCATGTAAGAGAGTTATAACCACCGATTCCAAAAAAAGTGACTGAAAACAAACGTATAGCTAAATAAATTATTAAAAGGTGATCACCCTTGAACCTATCTTCTAAGGCAAGAACTAGAACTCAGCCATCCAGGCTGGGTGCAGTGGCTCACACCTGTAATCCCAGCACTTTGGGAGGCTGATGTGGGCAGATCACTTGAGGCCAGAAGTTCAGGAACAGCATGGCCAACATGGCGAAACTTTGTCTCTACTAAAAATACAAAAAATTAGTCAGGTGTGGTGGCACCCTCCCGTAATCCCAGCTACTCAGGAGGCTGAGGCATGAGAATTGCTTGAACCTGGGATGTGAAACCCAAGATGTGGAGGTTACAGCGAACCAAGATCTCGACACTGCACTCCAGCCTGCGTGGCAGAGCAGCATTTGGTTTCCAAAAAAAAAGGACTAAAACCATGTAATCCAGGGCCTTCCTTCATGTTGAGAAGCATCTCAGTTAAGTATCATATTTCAGACTATCAGAAGGAAAAGCTGATTGGAACTCAATTTTAACTGTCAATTATATATCATTTGCATATAATTTGTTACACTTACCATCAATTAAAAACTTGGTAAAAATACTCAGCAATCCACACATATTTTGCCATATGGGAGAACTAGAAGTCTTCCAAAGATCTTCCTGGAAATCCTGTACTTTCTGTACTAACACCATTGAAACTCTAATGCCTACCAGCAAGTCATTCATTAACTGTGTTTGAATAATATGATTTCCAGCACATTTTCTATAAAGAAGAAAAGACATTACAAAAGGAAATTCAAATAAAAGTGTGAACATTTCTAATTCTCTGCAAAATAAATACATTCCTCAAAGGCCCAAAATCAGTTTTAAATTATAATGTATTCCTCTCTCTTCCATCACCATAAACATTCCAATTATGTAGACATTAGTTGCAAACTTTCAATACCCTTCACTTACCAACATGTTCCTCTTTCTCAGCCAATAACTAACTTCACTTCTTTTAGGGTAAAGATAAGAAATCAAGAATGAGTGACAGAACTCAGACCGGGTGAATGAAGTGGCTCACACCTGTAATCCCAGCACTTTGGGAGGCTGAGGCAAGCAGATCATTTGAGGTCTGGAGTTTGGGACCAGCTTGGCCAATGTGGCAAAACCATGTCTCTACTAAAAATACAAAAATTAGGCCAGGAGTAGTGGCACACACCTGTAATCCCAGCTACTCTGGAGGCTGAAACAGGAGAATCATTTGAACCCAAGGCAGAGGTTGCAGTGAGCCAAGATGGCACCATGGCACTCCAGCCTGGGCAACAGAGCAAGACACCATTTAAAAAAAGAAAAAGAATAAATGACAGAACTTACAAACTTGAACACTCCCTCAATGTTGATATATTTTTCCTCCCTAGCTGCTTTTTTTTTTTTTTGAGACGGACTCTCGCTCTGTTTCCCAGGAGTGCAGTGGCGCAATCTGGGCTCGCTGCAACCTCGGCCTCTGGGGTTCAAGTGATTCTCCTGTCTCACTCTCCTGAGTAGCTGGGATTACAGGCATGCCATCCTGCCTGGCTAATGTTTATATTTTCGGTAGAGACGGGAGTTTCTCCATGTTGGTTAGGCTGGTCTCGAACTCCTGACCTCAAGTGATCAGCCCACCTTGTCCTCCCAAAGTGTTGGGATTACAGGGGTGAGCCACCATGTCCAGTCCCTCCCTGACTTGTAAAATGCCAGGCTCTCCTAGATTTTCACCTATTTCACCAATACTCCTTCTCAGCTGCCTTGACTAAATCAACCTCTTCTCCCTGATCTTTTTATGCTAGGAATCTCCACAACTCAGTCTTTATTCCTCTTCTTTTCTCCATCTAATTCTCTCCCTTGCTGATCTCTTTTAGCTCATCGGCTTTAAATTATAATCTACATGCTGATAATTCCCAAATTTTTAACTCTAACACACACCTTTCTAATTCCTTCCTGGCATATCTAACTTCCTGGTATTTTTACTTGGATGTCTAACAGACGTCTCTAAATGAGTGAACTTATCTTCAACTCCAAATCTGCTATACCTGCTGGATCTTCAACCTACAAAAACACTGCAATCACCCTTGCCTCCTCTCTTCTCCATTCCATCTATAAGAGAATCCTGTTGGTTCTACCTTCAAAATACATCTAGAATCAGACCAACTCCACTGCCACATCTTGGCCTGAGCCACTCTCATCTCTCCCTTTGGTTATTGCCATAGCCTCCTAACTGGTCTCGCAGCTTCTGTCCTTGTCCCTCTCTGTCAGTTCTCAACACAGCAAAACACAGAATAATCCTATTAAGGCAAAAGTTAGGAAAAACAACTTGGTAGTTCCTCAAAGTTAAAAATAGAATTATTTTATGGATTCCACTTCTACGTATATACCCACAACAGCTGAAAGCAGAGGCGCAAAGATATATATACTTGTACACCAATGTTTATAGCAGCATTATTCACAATAGACAAAAGGTAAAAAGAGACCAAATGTCCATTGACAGATGGATTAACAACATGTGGTCTACACATACAGTGGGACGTTACTCAGCCACAAAAAGGAATGAAATTCTGATATATGCCCAACATACATGACCCTTGAAAACAAGCCTGTAATCCCAGCACTTTGGGAGGCTAAGGCAGGGGGATTGCTTGAGCGTAGGAGTTTGAAATCAGCCAGGGCAACATGATGAAATCCCATCTCTAACAAAAATATAAAAACTAGCATGGCATAGTGGTGGACATCTGTGGTCCCGGCTACTCCAGAGGCTGAGATGGAAGGATTGCTTGAGCTTGGGAGGCAGAGGCTACAGTGAGCCAAGATTCTGCACTCCAGCTTGGGTGACAGAACCAGAGCTTATCTCAAAAAAAAGGAAACATAAATGAAATAAGCCTGACACAAAAGGGCAAATATATGATTCTATTCATAAGCAGCACCTAGAACAGGCAAATTCCAAAAGACAGAAAGTAGAATAGAGATACTTGGGGCTATAGAAAAATACTTTTTTTAAAAAAATAAAATTTCCTTTCTTTTAGACACACTGAATTTGAGGTACCTATAAAACATCCAAGCTGAGATGTCCACAAGCCAACTCACTTTATCAGTCTACCACCCAGGAAAGAGACCTAACTTGGAGTAATAAATCTGGGAATCCTGAGTATATAGGTCATGGCTGACACCAAAGTCGATGTTAATCAACAGTTCAAACAAAATAAAAAGGACAGAACCCTCCTTTACACAATGAGCACAAAAAGAAGAGCCAAAAAAAAAAAGACAGCCAAAGAGCTCCTGCTGAGGCAAAAGGCTACCTTGAGCAAAAGATGACGTACAGGTATTATTTCTCTTCTCTCCCGGAAACTCCTTAAACCAATAGCCATGGGATTTAAAAGGTAAAGAAAGATAAATTCTTAAAGGCAACCAATATGCAATAAGACAATAACAATAGTATTTCAGAAGCTGCAAAACAGATGGATGAGTGATAACTGAAAGCAGAACTAAGAAATGTCGATACTGGCCGGGCACGGTGGCTCACGCCTGTAATCCCAGCACTTTGGAAGGCCAAGGCGGGTCGATCACCGGAGGTCAAGAGTTCGTAACTAGCCTGACCAACATAGTGAAACCCCATCTCTACTAAAAATGCAAAAAAATTAGCTGGGCGTGGTGGCAGGTGCCTGTAATCCCAGCTACTCTGGAGGCTGAGGCAGGAGAATCACTTGAACCCGGGAGGTGGAGTTTGCAGTGAGCCAAGATCGCACCATTGCACTCCAGCCTGGGCAACAAGAGCAAGACTCCATCTCAAAAAAAAAAAGAAAAGAAATGGATACTAAGCCAGGGAAAAAGCCCAGAAGCCACTTGATTTCTAGAGTCCCAAATAGCTCAGAAACTGTTGGCACTAGTTATTTCTTGATGTGGAGTTAAATGCAGGATTGAAAACAGGAAGATTGAATAAATACCTCCAAGCCAGCAGACAACTTGTTTATCTTTAGAGAAAGTAAAACGGGTGTCTGGAGAGGAAGATAGCACACACCAATAAGGCAGCAACATATTCCAAAAAGGAGAATTAGGTAAACACATGCACAATGCATGCCAAATGCTGAGACCTCAGCCTTCTTCCCTGACTCAGCAACCAGAATATTAAGACAATGGTTTGGAAGGTTCTTCCACGGTAAATCCAGTATCTAAGTAAAAAGGCCTAAAAATACTGACTTAGGTTTCCCCAAGAAAGAGTTTCCCCAAGAAAAAGCGCAGCTAGACTAGCCTACAATAAAACCTGCAGTCAACTCCACCCATAGGCACAGACATTCAAATCAACTCTCAGTGTCCCATTATTAAATATGACTACCCTGGCTGGGCACGGTGGCTCATGCCTACAATCCAAGCACTTTGGGAAGCAAGGAGGGAGGCTCACTTGAGCCAATGAGTTCAAGACTAGCCTGGGCATTACAGTGAGACCTCATCCCTACAAAAAATGTAAATTAAAAAAAAAAAAAATTAGCCAAGCATGGTGGCACACACCCATAGTCCCAGCTACCTGGGACACTGAGGTGGGAGTATCACTTGAACCCAGGGAGGCAGAGGTGCAGTGAGCCAAGATTGTGCCACTGCACTCAAGCCTGGGCAACAGAGCAAAACCCTGTTACAAAGAAAAAAAAAGTTTATATATAGATACAGACAGATAGGCAGACAGACAGACAGATAGGCAGACACACCTAATTGCCCAGCCAAGGATCACCAGACTTCTGAGGAAAGCTCAGAAGGAAATGTACTGAACAAAACCAGCAAACAGATAAAAGCAACTTGGAAGAAACAGAGCCTATGTAAAAATGATTTAAAAAAAACAAAAAAACTATCATTAATATATCCTCAAAGAAATAACAGGGTATTTCCCTGATGAAATAAAAACAGGATGCTATGAAAAAGGAACATGCTCAGGTGAGGAAAAGAGTTCTTTCATTTATTATCATAACAAATTATTACATTTTTAAATTTTCATTTAAATATTTTAGTAAATTTTAGATATTAAAATTTTCTATTTATTAAAATTAAATATCAAACCTCTAAAAAATACATTTAAATAATCGGGTCTAATATTAATGGAGAGAGGGGCTGGGCATAGTAGCTAACGCCCATAATCCCAATACTTTGGGAGGCCAAGGTGGGTAGATTACTTGCGTCTAAGAGTTGAAGACCAGCCTGGGCAACACAGTGAGACTCTGTCTCCAACAAAATACAAAAATTAGTCAGGTGAGGTGGTGCATGCCTGTAGTTGCACCTACTTGGGAGGCTGAGGTGATAGGAACACTTGAGCCCAGGAGGTTGAAGCTGCAATGAGCTATGATTATACCACTGTACTCCAACTTGGGTGACAAGGAAAGACACTGTCTCAAAAAAAAATAAGTGTAATAATATTAATAAAGAGGGATGAAAATACCACATTCTGAGACTTCTAAATTTTTCTTTGTACAAAGACAATGTACAACTGCAAGTGTGCACACACAAATGCCAACATATAGCACTTGCCTATTTTCTTCCAGGATTTCAATTAAACTCTTCTGCAGAAAACGAAGCACTGAAACAAAAAGAATATGACAAACCAGAATTTAAAACTGTGAACTTCAACTTCAATAAAAGAAAATCTTTTATATCACTGTTATCTAAAATGATATCATGATAGAGAAGTAAAAATTTAAAAAGAAGGAGCATGATGGACCTTGGTTATCTACAATGCTCTACCTATTGCCAAGAAACTTAGAAGAGCCAGTTCCAAAATGACTCATGCAAGCCAACAACTCATGCAACAAAATAACTTACCATTTTTAAGCAGATTATTAACACTTGCTCTACCTGTAGAGGAAAAAATGAACACTGATAAGGAGTTTCATGATCAAAATCAGTATCATTTAAAAACTATGATGTGATGAGAAGGGTTGGCCAGAAAAAGGACTAGAAAAGTGCCGCCTTACCCAAGTTAAAGTTCTCCATACAGGAAGATATATTGTCAATTACTTTCCTATAAGAGTATAAGTCAGTAGTATTCAATTCTTCCTGAAGACGAGAAGTAAAACTGTGTATAGCCGCAGTCAGAAAAAATTCAGGTAGGCTATTTAGTGAGCTAGAAAAAGAAACAAGTGTTAAAAAAATCTAACAATCTAATAGCCCCAGAATATGTGGGGAGGGAAGAAATCATACAAGTGTGGGAATATTGAACTAAACCTTCAAAAAACAGCCAGAAAATTACAATTCCACACTACCATCACTGGAATTTCCTGGCCTATCAGCTCTTGTCTGGTCTCCCTGTTTCCACCTTGATTCCCTCTCCCTCCCAGATTATTCTCAAGAGAGCAGGTAGAGTGACACTGTTTAAACACCAGGTCACTGCTCTTCCTAAAGCCTCCAACAACATCCTTCTCTACTATAGTACTATCCAAAGTGTTTACAGTGGCCTATAAGGTCCTCCCTACACAATCTGGCCCTACCATTAGCTCCTGAACTCATCTTTTTTTTTTTTCTTTTCTATTTTTAAAATGGTGCCCATCACAATCTTGATTGCATCTAGATCCATGTTCACTTATCTCTAGCTACACGGCCTTGCTCTGTTCTGACATGCCAGTTTCTGCTCCTGCTGTTTCCTCCAACCAAAATACTCGTCCCTCAAATATACCCAACAATTACTGCCCCATCCCTTTCAGGTCAATCTCAATTACCTTATCAAATCTAAGCAAAGCTATATGAAGTGATCACAATATTTTAAATTGTAACCCTTACCCCATCCTTGATAACCCCTTTCCTCCCTCCCAGCTTTTTCTTCATAGCACTCAAGCCAATCTAATAGCCTATAAATGTTAATTATTTTGTCTATTTTCTATCTTCCCCTTAGAATGTAACCTCCATTCTAGACTGTTTCATGTATTCTACCACCAATTCCTAGAAGAGTACTGAAACATAGTAGGCAGTCAATACAAATTTATCGAATGAATAAATTAAACATATCAACTTTGCCTCAATTAATCTAAATCAAAACCGATAGGCTTTGTTTTAAATATAACTGGACAGTTCAAAGTTTTTCTAGAAGAAAAGAATTCAAAAATGGGAATATTTAGAATAAGAAGAATCACTAGAAGGATGACTTATACTGATACATAATTAAAACACATTATCAAACTATAGTAAATACAAGTGTGGTGTTGGTGTATGAACAAATGGACCCAAATCAGAAATCAAACCCATGTTTATATAGGAACATATAACACAATGAGGTGGCATTCCAAATATGTGGGCAAAGATGGACTATTCAACAGTTTGGGTAAGTGGTTCCCCATATAAAAAAGAAAACTAAATTGAATCCCTACCTCACTCTACACTCAAAACTTAATTCCAGATGGACATAAAGGTTAAGCAAAAAAAAATAGTATAAGGCCTGCAAATAATGTTTTAAATAATCTTGTATTAAAGACAGTATACGTAGCAAGATACAAAACTCAGAAAAACACATACACACAAATTAGCTGAGTTGATAACCAAAATAAAATTTTAATTTTTGTAAAGACAAGACACCATGAGAAAGTTTAAAGACAAGTAACAAAAGAATATATTTGGCATATAATCTACAGAGAAGTCTTATAAACCAAGAAAACATTCTAACAAGAAAATTTACAAAGGACATGTAATGAAAAAAAAACAGTGACTCAAACTTCACACATGAAAAAATGTTCAATAACACTAGTAATCTGGGATATGCAAATTATAATGATAGCATTTTCACTCATTCGATTTTAAAAGATTTAAAGATTGATATTATCCAATGTTGGAAACACATGAAGAAGAAACAAGGACTCTAATTCAATTGGTAGTCTGAGGGAGTACAATTTAACAATATCTATCAAAAATTTCAATAGGCCTAATTTTTGGTCTAGAAATGCCACATCTTGGAATTTATCTCAGAGAAATGCACATACACATACATGATTAAGAATATCACTGCAATGGGGAAGTGATTAATTGCTTTAAACCATGCAATATAAATCATGTAATATGTACCATATATAGATGTATACATGTCATATATATGGTACATTTAAATTTTGGTATATTTATATTACGGAATATTTATAGCTGTTTTAAGAGTAAGGACTGTTGGCAGGAATGTAAAATGTTACATATGGAAAACAGTATGACAGTTGCTCAAAAAATTAAACATAGAATTACCATATGGTCCAGCAATCCCACTTCTAGGTATATATTCAAAAGAACTGAAAGCAGGATCTCAAAGAGATATTTGCACACCCATGTTCGTAGCAGCATTATTCACAAGAGCACAGCAGTGGAAGCAACCCAAATGTCCATCGAAAAGAGGAATGGATTAACAAAACGCAGTATATACATACAACAGAAAATTAAGCCTTATGAAAAGAAATTCCTGCCATATGCTATAGCAGGGATGAGCCTTAAGGACATTATGTCAAGTGAAATAAGTCAGTCACAAAAATATAAATACAAATACTCCACTAAGATGAGGTAATCAAATTCATGAACGGAAAGTGGCTGCCAATGGCTAGGTGGGAAATGGGGAGTTGTTACTTAATGGGTATAGCATCTCAGAGCTTTGCAGATAAGGTTCTAAAGATCACTGCACTGCAATGTAAATACACTTAACACTACTGAACTACATACACTTAAAGATGGTTAAGACTCAAACATCGTACGTTCTCACTCGTAAGTGGGAGCTAAGCTATGAGGATGCAAAGCCCTAAGAATCATATAGGAGGACCCCGGCGGAAAGGGTGAGAAGTGGGTAAGGGAGAAAAGACTACAAATTGTTAAATACATTATACACTGCTCAGGTGATGTTTGCACCAAAATCTCAGAAATCACCACTTATTATTATTATGAAATATTATGTACTTATTATGTAACCAAATACCAGCTGTCCCCCAAAAACCTATAGAAATAAAAAATAAAAAGAATTCATTTAAAAAAAAAGACTGATGTTTAAGTTATGTGTCTTTTACTATAATTTTTTTTGAAAAGGATTACATGTGACATGGAAATACCTCTAACACATTCTTTAGTGAAAAAAGAGCATTATGTAGAGTAAAATCTCATTTATAAAGAAATATATATATAAAAGTAGAATGTAACACACATATGCTGACCTCAAAGAAAAAGTCTAGAAAGATAAATACCAAAATGTTAAGTGACAATCTTTACTAAGAAAAGTGAGAAAAACCAGAAACAATGAAATGGAAGCCTCACTTTTTATTTTGTATACTTTTATTTAATTTTTTACATTAAGCCTATATTCCTGTGTTATCTGTGTAAATATACATTTAAACCATGAACAAATAGGACAAAAAGAGGAAAAAACAGCAAGATGACATTTAAACATAACCAATAAATGTAAATGGATTGAGCCAGGAGTAAGCAAACTACAGCCCACAGCCTGTTTTTTAAGTCTGTGACCTAAGAAGGCCTTTTCTATTTTTTAAAAGCTGTAACTAATCATTGAAAACAGAGAAAAAACCCACATGAATGAACTTTTTATGACCTATAACAGTTCAGTTTTATCAAACCAGGGAAGGAACTTTAATTACTTTTGGTCAAATTCAACATTTATAACACCCAACTTCCCTTCCTTTTTTTCTTACCTTGACAATACTTTCTTCAAGGGATTCTTTAGACTCAAAGAAAGATAAATGCCTGCTAAAACATCCAAACAACTTTGAATAGTGGGATCACACACGCCATTTTTATCTACTTTCTCCAGTAAAGGCACAATCTATAATACAAAACAGTGAAGTAATTTTTCTAATATCAAGTATAGCAAAGTAACATAGTTAGATATTCTTTAAAGTCTCAATTGCTGGGCACAGTGGCTCACCCCTGTAATCCCAGCACTTTGGGAGGCTGAGGTGAGCAGATCACTTGAGCCCAGGAGAGTTCGAGACCATCTTGGGCAACATGGCAAAACCCTATCTCTACAAAAAAAAATACAAAAATTAGCCAGGCATGGTGGTGCATGCCTGTAGTCCCAGCTACTCGGGGCTGAGGCAGGAGGATGACTCAAGCCCAGGCAGTTGAGGCTGCAGTTGAGCCAAGATCGCACCAGTGCACTCTAGCCTGAATAAGAGAGTGAGACCCTGTCTCAAAAAAATAAACGAAGTGTCAATTATAAAGTGAAGTGTTTTCCATACTCCACTGTCAAGGATACTGATTTAACACCTATTTCGCTACTTATTAACTTTTTAAACTTATGTCCCCAAGTCTCCCTTTACCCTCCAGACCAACCTCCACAGAGAATCACAGACATGTTAATGGCTTAAGGTAAAGAACAGTTGTAGCACTATTTAAAAAACCAGTAATACATTTACTTGCTTTCCAAAAAAAAAAAAAAACTATGTGTGCTCAAATGGTAAATCCTAATACTGAAATACTAATAAGTAAAATATTTATATTTTAAATTAACTTTTAAATGTGCCTGCTAAAAAGTTTTGAAGATTCATATATTTAAAAATTCATATAATTAAAAATTCTACACAAAAGAAGTATGTACAATTATCTTCTACCTTATCTATTTACAGCTCAATTATGACAGAAGCCTGAATATGGCTTCTATTGCTGCTTAGAATAAAAGGATATTATACAATGAACAGAAAAGAATAAAATACCTATTCATTAATGATAAACTGATATGCAAAAATTAGGAGCCAAAAACTGTCAGTGATTTTTAAAAATCCTTAATAGCATAATACTCTTAAAAATGCATCCATGAATATCAATTTAGACTTACCTGTTTAACATAATGGATTTGTGACACTCCATCTGTGAGTTGTACACAATGTAACAGCAAAGAAGCTAGATTTTTCCCTTCCACATCAGCAAAAGCTATATAACACATACAGAAAAAAAAAAATTCAGTGATTTAACAATAAGTTAAATATAAGTTTGCTTTTGTTATGCATTCTACATAATTTTTGATGTATAAACCAAAACAACAGGCAGAACATAGTCTGCAGACAGAATTTTAGGAAAATTGTTTTATATCCAAAACATAAAGAAATCTAGAAAGAATTTGAGTATTATGTGTTAGGGATTCCCAGAGATTAAAATACTCTGCTTGCAAACTAGAAAAGAAATATATTGGGCCGGGCGTGGTGGCTCACATCTGTAATCCCAGCACTTTGGGAGGCCAAAGCGGGTGGAGGTCAGGAGTTCAAGACCAGCCTGGCCAAGATGGTGAAACCCTGTCTCTACTAAAAATACAAAAATTAGTCAGGCTTGGTGGCAGGTGCCTGTAATCCCAGCTACTGAGGAGGCTAAGGCAGAGAACTGCTTGTACCTGGGAGGCCGAGGTTGCAGTGAGCCGAGATCATGCCACTGCACTCCAGCCTGGGAAGCAGAGCGATACTCCAACTCAAAAAAAAAAAAAGAAAAAGAAAAGAAAAGCAATATATTAAATAAGGGAAATCAGAAGTCACCTACATTTCAGAGTTTCGAGGTCCTGATGACAAATGGTCAACGCAGCAACCTGCATTTCTTTCTTCTTCTTTATACCCATTTTAAATAGAATTAACAGTAGTCACTGCAAGAAAGAAGACTTTAAGGCATTAATGTAAGGTTTCTCAACATCAGCACTATTAATTTTTGGCCAGATTCATTCTTTGTTGAACAGGATTAGCCTATGCATTATGTTTCATGCATCCCCAATCCATACCCACTAGATGCCAGTAGCAACCTCCTCCCTCCCACGTTGTGACAACCAGATAGTGTCCCCAAACATTGCCAAGTGTCCCCTGGGGAGCAAAAATGCCCCAGAATGAGAACCACTGTCTAAGAATTTCTGATCTGAAAGAGAAAAATTTTTTAAGCTCAAGAGTTTATTACTGTCTGAAGTTACTTTTACCTGCTATGACTCAGTCTTTGGATTTTAAAATACAGCAAACTTTCCTTTTAGTGAACACACACAAAAAAACTAGCATAGTTTTTCCAAAAATAAATTACTTCAAACTAACCTGTGACTTGTTAGATTAACAGGCGGTGCCACTGTATCTTGATTTCTGCAAAAAGGAAAAAAAAATTTTTTTGAATACTATTTTCTTGAGTTTGTTTTTATTGATACTTAACAAATCAGTGGGTTCATAACAGGCTAAGCAACCCAACTCAAAGACTACACACTAATAGCACCAGGCCATCTGGAAAGAAGTTGCTGGGGAAATGTCATAGGGCCCTTTTCCTGGTGCAGTTAGCATTTTTAGCAGCATCTATAATGCAAACATTAGAGGGTATAATGTCGTATATGTATAAAATACACAAATCTGGAAGAACATGTTGGATGATGAATCAGGATTAAAAACAGGTCAATACACTGGAATAATGAGCAACATGAAATTTACCAAGATGAAATAGAAATACATGTAAAGGGCTACATTTAGTTTAGGGAAAAACCACAGAAATTGAGGATGGGGAGGCAGAGGGAGGCAAAACGTAGTTTGAAACACCTCAACAGCACAAGATGACTGCCAAAAACCACAGAAGAAGTCAGCCACATCAAAGGAGTGCATGATTCTTCGTTCATCCAAACAGGACAGGTGACAGGTAGAGCATTAGGTACAGCACTGGTGGCTATACTTTAAGGAGCCATAACAAAAAATGGAGCTGATTTCTGAAGGACCTAGAGAGCACCTCCTTCAGAGAACAGCTCAGTTAACCAAAGGTGTGTGGCCTGGAGAAAAGTCAACAGGACAAGAGCCTTAGCAGCTAGACTGTTTTGGAGAAAAAAGGGAGATTTCTTTTGTCTTGCTATAAAATTAGTAAAAATCAGTACAAGCTACAGGGAGACAGATTCCAGATCAATACAAAAGAAAAGCTCTATGGTCCCACTAAGGACTGGGCTACCTTTTGAACAAAGAATTTCCCAACACCAGGAATATTCAAACAGAAGATGACTGAAGACTGAGTATTTTCTCTTGGCCACTTGAAATAGTCCCCATCCGGTCTCCTAACTTCTACATTTACCTCCAAAGAATTCATTCTGTTTACAGTCATCAAAGCAATCTCTTTTTTAAAAACTCTCATCAAATTGAATTACTTACTCTCTTCCTTAAAACTTTCCAAGGGTTTCCAAATACACTTACAATAAAATCCAAACTTGAGGCTGGGCGTGGGGGCTCTCACGCCTGTAATCCTAGTGCTTAGGGAGGCCTCGGCAGGCAGATCTCCTGAGGTCAGGAGTCCAAGATCAGCCTGGTCAACATGGTGAAACCCCATCTGTACTTAAAAAAAAAAAATACAAAAACCAGCCAGGTGTGATGGCAGGCGCTTGTAATCCCAGCTACTCAGGAGGCTAACTCAGGAGAATCGCTTGAACTCAGGAGGCAAGAGATTGCAGTGAGCTGAGATCGCACCACTGCACTCCAGCCTGGGCAACAAGAGCGAGAAACTCCATCTCAAAAGAAAAGAAAAAAAGAGATTTTGCCCTTCAAGGCCCTAAATAATCTGGCCCTGCCTTCCTCCACTCTTCATCTCAAACCAATCTCCTCCTCACCATCTCAAGAACTTTGCACTTCTGATGCTCTTATTCCCATCTAAGAGGTTTTACACTTCCCAATTATCTCTGCCCCTTAATGTTTATTCCACATCTGTGCAAGGCTGACTCCTCACCATTCATGTTTCTGCTGCAATGTTACCTCCTAGAAGCCTTCCATGACAACTCTATCAAAAATGCCACCAATCCAACACACATACACACCATTTCTGCTAATTTTCTTCACAGGACTTACTACTACCAGAAATTACACTAACTTGTACATTTATATATTGTCTGTCTACCTTAGTAGCAAACAATGAAGGCAGTAACCTTAATCTGTTTTGTTCACGCTTGAAGTCTCAATTCCTAAACCAGTACCTGGCACATAGTAGGTGTTTATTAAACACTTGATGAATAAACAAATTAATTAACAAACATTTGTCAAAGACGTTCTAGAAAGGACATATGTCTTTAAGGGCAGGAAGGTGGACTACCTAGTATCTAAAATCCATTCTACATCTAAGTAACATTCTACATCTTAAGAACCTATGGTTTGGAAAGTAAGAAGTCGATACAGTAATGGCAGGTGATCAACCACTTAACGAAAAATGGACCCAACTAGAAAAGTGTTGACAACAGGGTAATTTGTAAAGGGATGGTCAGATCTAGAGGAACTGAGGCACGCTTCCTCAGTAAGTGACCATCGTACAAAGCCAGAAGAGACTGGGAAACGTAACTAGGGAGACTATTCTCTGGTGAAAGGTAAGCAAGTTTACAGGAGGATATGATCTTGCAACTCTGAAGGTTACACAAAAGCAGACTCGGTAATTATGCCTGCTCAAAGGATGCCTAAACGTGTGTCCTGAAGAACCCGGCTCCCCAAGGAAGTAAATCCCGTGTCTATGGCAAGGCCAGAAGGTGCCCAGTAAATTACACTCCTAGGTCCCACTTACTGCTTCCCTTTAGAACGCTGCTTCACTCTACACCTTCCTGGCTGACTCCCACAAACATTCTCTGGGCGATTTCTGAACCACGTGGAGTCGAGGAAAGACAGTGGGAGAAAGTGGTTAAAGTGTTGTCTCCATGGAGACCTTAGCGACCGGAAACCAGTTTCACAGCCGCCGAATCCTGGCGATACTAAAAGATGAGAATTGATGCGGCTCGCAAGGCGGCCCTAGCAAAACTGGCCGAGCCGAGAGGTGGAGGGTCTCGCGCTACCGCGGGTCTGGCAGACAGGACACCTGGGAGCCAAACCTCGTGCTCGTGGACGTCTGAGAAGAGTCGCAGGCGTCTGGTCGAGTCCCGGAAGCTGGTCTAGTTCTACCGCGTCTCCGAAGCTCGCAAGCAGTCAGCTGTCGACTACCGGGTCACGGCGAAGGGAGGGAGGGAGGGGTAACCTGTGGGAGTCATCGCGAGAATTGACCAAATGCAGCTTCTCCAATCAGGAGTTCGGCGAGGCCGTGACGTTCCGGGTTTGGTTAATCTGTGACTTCTCTTTCAGTGCCGTGCGTTTCTCGTGGCGTTGGGGCTGACGGGTCCTCTTGGGACGGCGCCCACCTCATCCTCCTCACAGGCTTGGACGTACGGGAAGCGGTTTTGTCCCAGCCCAGACCTTCCACCTTTCTCCCACTCTGTTGGCCTAATGCAGAGTCTAGGAGAAAACTGCGTCCGGTACTCGGAAACGAGTCCAGGGAGTTTAGAGCGTGCGACATAGGGCAGGGGGATTGGGCGGCGACTAAACGGAAGCCCGGAGAAGAATTCGGACTAAAATGAGAAGTGCTGAACTAACTTGTGTCACAGTGCATTTATTCATTCAATAAATAGTTAATGAACTCTATTGTCAGAGCGTCGCGAGGCGCTAGCCTGGAAAGTTATCCCCTACTGAGGATACGTTAATTACGCAGCGCATACAAATTGTCAGATGGTTCAGTCCTTGGAAAATAAATACAATAATTAAGGGCCACTGGGAGCTGCGACAGGGAGCAAGATCAGGAAATAGACATGATGCTGTCTTCAGGAGTACTGGGGAAATAGAAACAGTTCCGTAAACGTTAATGACTTAAGTTTTTAATGATTTTCTGAATTTTTAATATCACCTTGCCTTGTTTTTCTTTGTAGTTTTACTACATATGTATGTATCACTATCTTGTTTTGTTCAATTTTGAACTTTATGGAATTATGTCTATTATCCAGCAGTTTCCTTCTTTCAGCATTGCTTTTCATATTCACCTACATAAAAGCTGGTGGCTGTAGTTCTTCATTCACTGTTGCATAACTTTCCATTGTTTAATATACTTCATTATGTATCCATCCTGCTGCCTCAACATTTGGATTATTTCCAGCTTTTGCTCTAACAATGCTGCTGTGAACTATGTTGTGCATGTCAGCTGGTGAGTGTGTGCAAATGGTTCTATACCGTATTTTTTTCTCATATTTTTGACCCGGACTGATAGTAAGAAATAGATTGTAGGCTTTGGAACCGTGGATATATAAGTACTCACACAAAACTGGAAAAAAAATCCTTGAAATATTACTTTACAGGAGCTGTGAGATTTTCTTTATTTCCTTTTTCTAAATTATGGTAAAATACGCATAACAAAATTTATTTTAGCCATTTTCAAGTCTTATGTTTTTTAAAAAATATATATATTGTTCCAGGCCTACTGAAATAATTATATAACTTAGTGGTTCCCAACTCTTTTTTTTTTGTTCTGAGCTAACCGTTTTAAAGCAGCAGACACTGCGACTCTTCACCCTACGCAATAGGAGGTGGGATAGGAGGCAAACATCATAAACATCTGTTGAAAGTTGAAATTATTGTTAAAACTTCAAATTAAACTTACAGTTAAATTGAGCAAGGGGAAAAAATGATTCACAAATCGGGCAGCCTCCAGAATCACAGCAGATTCAGAGAGACTCCAGGGATGCCTTGTGGTCAGAGCAAATTTGTAGACAAAAAAAGGAAATTGATGTACAGAAAACAGAAGTGAGGTACAGAAGCAGCTGGATGGGTCACAGCTTGGCGTTTGCCTTACCTGAACACAGTTTGAACAGTCAGCATTGTATAGAATAGTTGAAGTATGGCTGCTGGGATTGGCTGAGACTCAACTATTGTTATAGAAGCATACTCCTAAATTAGGTTTTCAGTCTTGTCTATCTACTAAGTTAGGTTATGGTTTATCCTCAAGGACTCAAATATGGAAGTACAGAGGCTGTCTCAGGCCGTATTTTGTTCAATTAAACACTACCATGGAAAAAATAGGGGAATGCAAGGTGACAGTATATGGGAGATATGCTGCAACTTTAAATAGAGTAATCAAGGTAGGCCTCATGGAATAAAGATCTGCAAGAGACGTAGACACTTGGGGAAGGGGAAACGTTCAGTACAGAGGGAGTACAAAGTTTCCAGAGCAGGGCTTGCCTTTTGGGAGAATAGCAAGGAGGCAAGAGTGGCGGGAGGCAAGAGTGGCGGGAGCCAAGGGAGGTAAGTAGTAAGGAATGGGACAAGGGGCTTCGGATTATGAAAGGCTTCCACATTATTTTATGGACTCTGACTTTCACTCTTAAGTGAAATGAAGAGTGATTTTGAGCAAAAGAATAACTAATTTACATTTCAAAATAATCACTGGAGCTACTTTGTTAAGAAGAGACTGTAGATCGAGCACGGTGGCTCATGCCTGTCATCCCAGCACTTTGAGAGGCCGAAGTGGGTGGATAGTCTGAGCTCAGGAGTTCGAGACCACTCTGGGCAACGTGAAACCTCGTCTCTACAAAAATATGAAAAAATTAGCTGGGCGTGGTGGTGGTTGCCTGTAGTCGCAGCTACTCGGAAGACTGAGGCACGAGAATCACTTGAGCCCCGGAGGCAGAGATTGCAATGAGCCAAGATGGCACCACTGCACTCCAGCTTGAGCTGCAGAGTGAGACTCCATCTCAAAAAAGAAAAAAAACAAAAAGAGAGACTGTAGAGCCTGCAGGAAGCCCAGTGAGGCTGCTGCCATGAACTAGGCAGGCAGGATGCAGGTGGTACCGACCAGGGCAGTAGCAGTGGAGAGCAAAAAGTGGACAGATTTTGGATCTAATGTGAAAGCAGAGCTAACAATTATTTTCTGAGGGATAGAATGTGGGTATGAAGAAATGAGTCAAAGATGAGTCCAAAGTTTCTGGCCTGAGCACCTGGAAGGATGACATTGCCAAAGTTTACTTGGCACAGATTTGAATGGGTTAAAAGAGACTGGGAAGAGAGGAATCGGCAAGATCAAGTAGAAGCAACTCCTTCTAGTCCTTCTGTTACACGAGGGGCAGATAAGTGGAGTGGTAACACCTGGAGGAAGTAGGGGCAAGAGAAGATGTCAGCAGACAGGGAGGGTCTCCAGAGATTCTAGAAATGTAATCAACTTAAACAATCAGCTTGCTTTACAGCATGCTGTTCTGCAGCCTAGTTTCTGGAAACCCTCTGTGAAATGTGGTCACCTTGATGTCAGAATCAGCTTCTGTAGAGGTGTGGTGGTTTGTGTCTGTAAACCCAGCACTTTGGGAGGCAGAGGCAGGAGAATCGCACAAGGCCAGGACCTTGTCTCTACCAAAAAAAAAAAAAAAAAATAGCCAGGTGTAGTCCTAGCTACTCAGGAGGCTGAGATGGGAGGATTGCTTGAGCCCAGGAATTGGAGGCTGCAGTGAGCCATGATCAGACCACTGCATTCCAGATTGGGGTGACAGAGCAACACCCTGTCTCTAAAAAAATAAAAAGAAAGAAAGAAACTAACTTCTGACAGACCCTGACAATTTACAGATAAACCCAAGTAAACTTTCCTCATTACTAAAGTCTCCACCCCAAATGTACTGACGTAATGACTCACTACATCTACACAACTGGGACCCCTCCTCTACACTCCCCTTTCTCTCACCCAATAAAACCCTCCATCACTTTCCCTTAGGAAAACACTGCTTTAAAAAATTCTCCCAGTTTCCCCCTTATCTGTGCCAGGTAAAAAAACTCCTGTTAATCAAAACCTACGTTTTCCTGATAAAAGAATTCAGCAAAGTTTCCAGATACAAGATTAATGTACACACATTAGTAGCTCTTTTATACACTGACAGCGACTAACCAGAGAATTAAATCAAGAACTCAACCTCTTTTACAATTGTTTAAAAAAAAATACTTAGAAATATACCTAACCAAGGAGGCAAAAGATTTCTATGAGGAAAACTACAAAACACTGCTGAAAGAAATCATAGACGACACCAACAAATGGAAACACATCCCATGCTCATGGATGGGTAGAATCAATACTGTGAAAATGATCATACTGCCAAAAGCAATCTACAAATTCAATGCAATCACCATTGAAATACCACCATCACTCTTCACAGAATTAGAAAAACCAATTCTAAAATTCATATGAAACCAAAAAAGAGCCCACATAGCCAAAGCAGGACTAAGCAAAGAGAACAAATCTAGAGGCAACACACTACCTGATTTCAAACCATACTATAAGGCCAGAGTCACCAAAACAGCATGGTACTGGTTTAAAAATCAGCCCACAGACCAATGGAACAGAATAGAGAACCCAGAAATAAACCCAAATATTTATGGCTAACTGAATTTCAACGAAGCAAACAAAAACATAAAATTGGGAAAGGACACCCTCTTCAACAAATGATGCTAGGATAATTGGTTAGTCACATGTAGGAGAATAAAACTGAATCCTCATCTCTCACTTTATATGATAATCAACTCAAGATTAATTAAGGACTTAAATCTAAGACCTGAAACCATAAAAACTCTAAAAGATAACATTGGAAAAACCCTTCCTGACATTGGCTTAGGCAAGGATTTCGTGACCAGGAACCCAAAAGCAAATGCAATAAAGATAAAGATAAATAGTTCGGACTTAATGAAACTAAAGAACTTTTGCACTGCAAATGGAACAGTCAGCAGTTTAAGCAGGCAACCCACAGAGCGGGAGAAAATCTTCACGATCTATACATCCGACAAAGGGCAAATATCCAGAATCTACAACAAACCCAAACAAATTGGTAAGAAAAAAACAAACAATCTCATCAAAAAGTGGCCTAAGGACATGAATAAACAGTTCTCAAAAGAATATATGCAAATGGCCAACAAACACAAAAAAAATGCTCAACATCACTAATGATCAGGGAAATTCGAATAAAAACTGCAATGCAATATCACCTTACTCCTGCAAGAACGGCCATAGTCAAAAAAATCAAAAAACAGTAGATG